GGTGTCTACATTTACATGAGTAATGAGATATATACATATGATTAATGCAATAGATTTGTATGAAATGCACAAACCTATCGTATGCATGAGATATGTCTACACGAAATGTAATGCATGTGTTGTGCTCACTTAATGATGTTGACAATACTTTAAGATATGTAATGAGATGGAGTGCATGTACTATCTATTAAGATGTGCATAAGATACATGTATTATTTATTAACATGTGTATGAAATGAAATGCATATACTATCTACTGATGTTGATGAGATAAAATGTATGTATTATATATTAAGATGTAAGAAATAAGGTACATGTATTATCTTATTATTTCTATTTAAAAAAATAATAAAAATATATGCAAAAGATCAAATGAAAAAACAAAAGATGAAACAACATTTAAATTTAAAAATCTTTTTTTCTTTTCCTTTTTTTTTAGAAAGAGGAAAAGTTCAAGAACACACATTTTTTATCACATCAAATAACTAGGATTCAAAGATTTTTCTCTTTTTTTATTAATTTTATTTGGCTAATAAACAAAGAATTTTATAAAGACCTTTAATTTTGCTTGAAATTTTTTTTGTTTTTTATTTTATGTTTGTTGGATAATGCTAAAATTTTTTTTTCATTTTATTTTAAAAATATTTTTTGAAAATGCAAATTTTGGATAACCACTAAATGAATGAACTACATGTTAAAAGAAAATTTTCTTTTCTCTTTTTTTTAAATATTTTTTTTATTTCTATTTCTTTTTTTTTTCAAAATCTTAATTTTACCTACCATTATTATCCCCAAATGTATATAGTATTAGAGTGTCCTAATTTGTGTTATTTCTAAAAAAAAGTTGGCATTGCTCCACCTTAGGTTGGTCCATTAAGGTTTACAATATGTTGAGTGAGAATTTATATGTCTAAAGGTTCTCAAATTATTCTTCACTAGCGTCCACACAAAACTATAAGGCATATTGATCCTCACCTGTTATAAGTTATGAATGAAAAGTGTTCAATTTGAATAAGAGTACTTCATTTGCCATTACAGAGATTATCATCTCACGAGAGCATAAGTACTCTATTCCTTCTTAAAAGGACGGAGCCTAGGTATAGAGCTTATGCATGAGATGAATGTGTCATGTGTGAATAAAGAAATGGAACATTGAAAACCTAATTTTAAATGCCTTACAATCTATCAAAAACATAAATAATAAATGAATTATAAACATAATTAAAATGAAATGTATGTAAAATTTTTTATTACTATTGTTATTAAAAAAATTAAAGTTAAAATCAATTAAGCTTATTAAATCAAAATTGAGGGTAACACATAATTAATTTTTTGGCTTAGCTTTTTTTTTTAAAATAACGTTCTCAATGAAATCACCAAGCTGTTATAACAATTTTGGAGCTGCCAGACGAATTTAAAAATAAAAAGAAAAAAACCAAAGTTGCCACCAATCTTTTGTGATTAAGTGCGATTGGTCACCTATTAAAACATATTCTTTTCATAAAATCTTAAAATTAATTAAAAATTTTAGGTTATGTGGAACAATTTTAGTCTGAGAGTCAGTTACGCGTGAAAAAGGATTAATATCCCCATAGTGCCCATTTAAAACAGCATTAATTAATTACATGTTTTCCTTTAATCTTGACAAGAATGGTATTTGTTTCGGTGTTTGGAAATAATTTCCTTACTTTTTTTTTATCAAAATTTTGGTTTTTTGTTCTTCTTTTTATTTATTTATTTTTTGCTATTTCTTTTTATTCGAGAAAAATAAATTAGATCCCTTTTATTGAAATAATTCTTAAAATATTTCAATACATTGATAACATTAAAAGAACGTTTTTTCACTTAAAAATTTCTTAGGCATCGCTACTTAGAATATTTTAGAATCTAATTTTCGAAGACTCATATTTATTTTTCATAAAGGTATGCATGAAATGTGAATGACATTATATCGATATACACATTTTATTTTATTTAACATTTATTTTTTTGGAAGAAAATTTGTTTTTATCATATTAAAAACCTTTTATAAATAATCCAATACACTTAGAGTATTTTTTAAAAAATCTTCTCAACTTGAGATTTTTAAGGCATCATTACTCAAAATAACTTAAAATCCCATTAACAAGCAAAATTTTCTTTTCCTTCATTTTTTATTAACAATTTAGTTAATTTTTATTTTATTTAATAATTTTTAGTTAATTTTTATTTTATTTTATTTAAAAAATTTTACTGTATTGAAAATATTTTATAAATACTTCAATATATTGATAGTATTTAAAAAAAAATCTTTTTACCTAGAGATTTCATATGCATCATTACTTAGAGTGCCTTAGAATCTCATCATCGGATAAAAAATTCTCTTATTACATTTTTACATTATTTTTATTATTTTTTGTTATTTTTTGTTATTTTTTAAATTTAAAAATATCAAAAGCATAGAAACCATTTTCTTTTTTTTTATTATTGTTAGTATAATTTTCTTTAGGTATTATTTATTATATTATTTTACAAGGTTTATTTTTACTTTTTAATAAAATTATCAAAAATTTAAACTTTATTATTCATTATTTATCTTTACTTTTTTTTCATTTTTATTGTTATTATTATTAAAAAATATTCTAGGAAATTTAAAATTTTAAACATGCATAAACAACAACAACAACAACAATAATAATAATAAACTCAAAATGATAAAAATAATATTAAAAAATTAATTCAAAAAATTCAAAAGAAAAAGTACCTAAACCGGACCAATCAATGGTTCGATCAACACTAGTTCGATCAGATCGATTAGGGATGGTTCAGTCGAATCGGTTGGGGGCAGAAAGAGGAGCCAGGTTGGGTTGGATGCATAAACCTAGGGTCAGGTCGCGGGTTCACGAACGGATTCTAGCTTTCCTAAATGGCGTTGTTTTGGCTCTTTTATTTACTATAAACGACACCCTTTTTTTTTACTTCATTTCCTCCCATTTTTTAAAAAAAAAACACCTTTAAAAAACCTCTCAATAAAAAAAAAAAAAAACTAGGAGTCAATCGTTTCCATAAATCGATCACCGTTTGTCGTATCAACCACTGCTTGTGGTTGTCAACTATCATGCTGATCATTGAAAAAAAAAAAATCAATCTCTTACTCCCCTTTCTCTAGATCCAACCTTTTTTTCTTCAAATACAATCACAATTTCCCTAAATTGACCTTTTAACTTTTGGTCAAAGCTTTTTTTTGTTTGTTTTTGTTGTGTTTTTTTTTTTTTTGGGTTTGACGACACTAGGTCTCCATTATAGGGGATTGTGTTTTTTTTTTTTTTAATTTTGTGTTTGGTTTTCCAATAAGCAAGGGATTTTTTTTAATGGTGGTTTTTTTTATTTTACGGAGGTTTTTTTTTTTTAGTAATTTCTTTTTATGGCAACATTTTCATTTGGTCATTTTTTATTTTTTTGGTAGGGTCTCACTTTTCCTTTTTGGTCTATTTTATGGCTAGGTTTTATAGAGCCGACCTAAAAGGGGCAAGTATGGCTTAAAAGGGTAGTTCAAAGTAAGTGTGGTTTAGGGGAGTGGATTGCAGGGCCTTAAGGTTTTAGGAGAGTGAGTGGTCAGAGGCGTTGCATGGCCATACATTAGTACTCGTAAGCTACTCGGGTTCGATTCGAAAAAAACTCAAATTCGGTTCGATTATTTTTGAGTCGAGCTCGAGCTCGAGTAGCTCGACCTATCGATCGAGCCGAATTCAAGTATTCTTATATCCGACTCGAGTAGCTCGTGAGCCTAATCGAGTTTTTATATTTAAATATATTTTTATTATTTTAATTAATAAAATATTTTGAGTTCGAGTATGAATAATCGAACTCTTGTCGAGTATACGAATCGAGCTTATTTTTACATATTAATCGAGCTTAATCGAGTGAGCTCGAGTAGCTCGAATTCGATCACGAATCGAGCTCGAGCTTGAAAAATAAAACTCGATCGAGCTCGAGCCGAGTATCGAGCTTCGAATTGTGAGTCGAGCTCAAGCTCGAGCTTCTTATTATTCAGCTCGATTCGGCTCGATTATACCCCTAATGGCACCCACTACCATTGGTACCATAGCCTTCTTTTGTTTTTTTGTTTTTTTTTTTTTGTTTAATTAATTTATTATTTATTATTTAATTATTATATAAATGATGAAATAAAAATAAAATGAAAATGAAAATAAAAACATTGGCTTCAGGCTTGAAAAGATGAAATTGGCCTTTAGCCTAAAAACTTGATAAAAATTTTATGAATTTAAAATTGAGGCTCAATTCGGAGAACCTGAACAAATTTGAAGTCTACATAGCTAAGATGAAAATGTTTAGATGAATATGTGATAAGACTAAAAGAGACAATTAGAAATAGAGAGATTCAAGAAAAATTAGAGATAGTTCGAATTAAGAACAAGATGAGAAAAGATTATTTGAGATAATTTGAACATGTGAAACGTAGACCTATTTATGCACTAAAAGAAATAAGCTTCTAGATTTAGGAGAAATCAAAACTTCTAAAGATAGACTACGAAAATATAGATATAAGTAGTAAAATATGATATGAAGGTTAAAGAAATAGATGAAAAGTTAATTGTTGTTAATAAAATGAATGGCGAAAAAAAAATCAAAGTTATGATCTAACATGATTTTTTTGTTAGTTTTTCATACAATGAATTCCGAAATTATATGATATATAGTTTAATTTGTTATGTGGTTGTAATCAAGGAACATGAGCTGTATGCGCATCATGGACAGATTTGTGCTTTAATTTTCACAGCTTTTATGTTGCTAGTAGCTAATCATTAATTCCTTTTACTCTGATTTGCGGCTATTCTACAGACGATTGTGAACGGGGTTTTTGTGATTTTCAATCAGTCCCCACAGTTAGCATCAGCAAAGATGTATTCCATGAAACGTAAACTTCTCTTCTTATTTATAAAGACGAGCAATATTCCCCAATATAATCAAAGACTGAAAACGAGATAAGCAGTGTCTCTATTGGCCTATCAATGAGCAGGGATGGGCAGCCTTGCCAGCCAAAGCTTGTAAAATCAGAGAGCCCCCTTAACGATGGAAAGGCCAAAGGTGTCTTCATAAATTACGGCGAGGAAGCAGTAGTGTTGGTGGCAAGAGATGGTGTCCGGCCAGATAGCAGTGGGGTTGATTCAGCCATGACATTAACAAGAAGCTTCATGCCTCGGGAACAATAGCCAACCACACCACAAATGAAGTAATGAGGGCCAGCAGTGAGAAGAGGAATGGTGGTAGAGCCACTGTTGTCTGAGGTTATTGGATTACCCACAGTGCATGTATTGTAGTCATTTTCGAATACTTCATCCACAGTAAGGCCACTAGGATAATCGAACACTAGGGATCAACATTTTCAGCGTGTAAATTCATGGATCATAAATATTTTAACTTCATATAAGTCAACAATTAATAATAGTTTTTCTAAGGATTGGGAGGGAGTAATTAGAAGAGGAAGTGATTTGTCTTGTCAGATAACAAAATTGGTAAAATATAATATAAGAATTGAACACTGACCAAGGCTATCACCAACTTTAAAGTGCTTGGTTTCGGCCCATGCATTGTAATCAAAACCAGGAATCCAGCCGATGCTCTCACCGACGGTGAAAACTGCATGCTGCAGGGTCGGCATGACCATACACGAGATCACTAGCACGAGACAAGCCATTGCCACCCCTGATCCTGAGCTTGACATTTTGTGATAAAACCAGACAGAATAAAACTAAGAATATTAAAAAGGGAAAATCAGCCTTTTTTTTTTTAATAACAATTTCTGAAGTGGATGAAGTTCTTTATATAAGACTAGTACTAATAATTAAAGTGGGATGGGGTGAATGAAACTAAGGAAAAACTAAGTTTAGTCCACTTATTGCCATTCTCTTTTTCTCTCTTTTATTTGGTATTTTTTTGTCTTTTGGAAAGCCAGTTCACAATACCTTAAAAATGCATGAAAGGTTAAAAAAAAGGGAACCTATATTTAATGTGTGTAGGCATATAAAGAAACTATTTAATTATTTTTAGCTATTTTTTTATGAAATATATTTAACTATTTTTAATTGCGAGTAAGCAGTCCTTTTGTTACTTTTAATTAAATAGGCTATCTTATGCTATATATAATTTTTAAGAAATGATATTTAATAAGTTTAAAATTTAAATATCAACATGTATAATATTTTTTTTATTCTTAAATTACGATTTCGTTTATAAAAAAAAGTAATTTCCTAATAATATCGAAAAATTTTCATTTATGAAAGAAATAAATGTCATAAATGAATATTCCTAAATTATAGTAATATTTTCTTATGGTATTGTAACTATCTTTGGGATGAATTATAAAATGATTGCTACTAAGACACCTGAACTATGTGTTTATTAGTGTATTTGAATAAGTACATTAATGAATTTTGCTAAATAAGAAAAATTTATACCTCCCTGCATAATAATGTATAGAATAGAAATTTAGAATTCAAAAATAAATTGGGCCAAGAAGGAAATTAAAAATGGCCTTATTAGACTTCGACAGGTATAACTAAGCCCAAAGTTTCTTAAACAGTTAAAACTTTTATAACTCGATTAAGCCCCAGTGAGTGACCATATCAATCCAAAGAGTTCGTATGCAAATCAATTTACCCTGCTTCTTGCCACTATAGGTTGCAATATGCGAGATGGATTGGGTTTCAGTTGGATTATTTTTTATTGGATTTTTTTATTAAAAAATAAATCGAATCAAATTCGGATCATTATTTTAATTTTAAATCATTTTGAATTTAAATTAATTAAGATTTAAAATTTTCAGATTTGATACTTAAATTATTTAAATTTGGATATTTTGAATTTAGATTACTAAATTTGAAAATAAAATCAATTTAATTAAATTAATTTTTAAGATCAGATTTAGATAATTTCCAATTCAAATCTTTTTTAAGTTTGAGTTGAACTGATTTTTTTTTTTTTGTTATTGGAGTTAGTTTTCCGTGTCACTTGCAAACGCAAGTTTTGTACAAGGGCTACCAATTTAATTTCAATTGAACCTCCCTGTATGGTCTTCCAAACAGCTAATATCTGAGAATTCCATGAAACTATATAAAATTGAAGAAAGTGCAAAATCTTAGAATAGAATATTCAAACTAATCCTAAAAGATTGTCAATTAGAATAGTTGCTAGTCTTTAGTAGTTGCATCGGTATTTTTGATCAAATGTCAAGTTCATCCTGCCTCCTGGATTAAAGGGATTATGGAAAGAAGAGTGCTATCCCCGTTGTCTTGGTTTCAACCATTGATCATCATATCAAAATTAGAATCTACTCCTCAAAGACGAACCCTTTTGGGGTTACCTTCTACTTGTCCTGTTATTCCTCTGTTTTCTTTTAGCAACTTTTCAAGTTACCATTAATCTTTCATCCCAGGAAATTAAAAAAGTTGCCATTAGTCATAAATACTCTTGCTCTAAGTTGCTGGTGTTATCAAGGGTAACAGGATTATTGAAAATTTCAACCAATGTTCACATAGAACATGATACGAGAATGAACAATAACTTACATATATGACGTACCTAACGCCATGAGAAGGTAACTTGCTCATTCATAAAGATAAGCAATGATCCTGAATACAAACAAGATAAAAAGAAAAGAAAAAAGGGAGATCAGCACTGCCTCTATCCTGACCACGGCCAACACTCCTGCCAAAAGCTTATGAAATGAACATCACAATTAATGCAACCCAAGCTGTCACAAAAGCCAGAAATGGGGAAAGACTCCATGAAGATGAGGAATACGGGACATTAGTTGTTGTAGTTGTTGTAGATGGCGTGGTGGTTGATGGTTTATCACTGGAAGGCGGCGAGGAAGAAGAAGAGGTTGGTGACTTGGACGGTGCTGTGGATGAGCCTGACTCCACTTTGACTGCCAGCTTCATGCCATTCCCACAATGGCCAACCACACCACAAATGAAGTAATGAGTTCCTGTAGTCTTGAGAGCAACGGTGGTGGCTCCACTGTTATCTGTTGTGATTGCATTGCCCACAGTGCATGTGCTGTAGTCACTTGAACTTACTTCATCCACTGTATGACTAGTTGGGTAATTGAAAACTACGGAACCAAAATTCAAAATGTTCGTTTATGGATCAAACATTATTTGACTAGAAAGTACATGAATATGAAAGATCTAGATAGATAATTACGTTTATGTCTAAATATGAAATTGTCTTAAGATTGGGGTTTAAGAACTCACCAAGGCTATCGCCAGCTTTGAAGGTCTTGCCGTTAGCCCATGTGCTATAATCAACACCAGTTGTCCAGCCAGAGGTGTCACCAACAGTGTAAACTGTGGCCAAGCTTGGCGCAGCCATGCACAACACTAGCAAAAGACAGGCCATTCCCATACTTGAACTTGCCATTTTTTTTTTTTTTTGTGTAAAACTAGACAGAGTCAAAGTAACACTGTAAAATAAAGAAAAGAGGAGGAGCTTTTTTGTGAAAACAATTTTCTGAAATGGAGTTCCTTATATAATACCATGAAAGGGGGGATGGAAGGAGTAAAGTTTGGTCGACTTTATACCGTACAAACTAATATTTGTTAAACGAATTCATTCCAAAAGGATGACTTGGGGGCAGATCCTACACCTAATGCGAAGGAATCGTGGGTAATCCTATCTTTCTCTTTTATTGCCCTTGATTGAAATAATGGTTGTTAAGTAGGGTTACCTTAATGGTGATTATGATGTTTTTGCTACAGTTGCAATCAAATATAAAGGAACTCCATTGATATATTTGTAATGTACATTTAAGTGATCTTTATACCTCTTGTAATGATGGATTGTGAATGAAGAAAAGCATGAAGAAGGTCAAACAGATGAAGAAGGTCATAATCACCATGAAAGGAAAGGGAGAGATGCGGCAGTGCAAACAAGGTGGAACAGGTAATAACATGCTTGAAACCTACTCTAATAAAATGTGATCGATATTAAGGAGACTAACTCTTTGAAACACATCTGACATCCAACAACCCCCTAGAAGGGCAATTTTCATTGCGTACGTGCCAAAGAAAGATACGATGACTTGGACTTTCAACAAACAAGAAGCTGAAAGAGAAAGAAACCTCAAAAATAGGAAGAAAAGTATCTCAGTTTTCCTTTTCGTTAGGCTTAATAGTTTAAAATTTTCATCAAATTAGCTTGTGAGGAACTGGGAATAAAAAAGGGCTTAAATGCATTTGTGTAACGATGTAGGGGGGAAAAATGTTGAATTTACACATACAAGTGCAAGTTCATAGACTCAAGGGCATAGGCTGTGAGCTTATGGGCTAAGGAATGAATAGGGGCGAGAGAGAGCGCCTTTGAATTTGTCCAAAAAAGGGGGAATGATGTAGCGTCCAGACATTTGATCCCAACCTTTCACCTAACCATAGACTAAAAGTCTTCATGGGCATGATTTAACTCAAGTGATGAAGGAAAGATCGTTCGCCTGTTTACCCAGAGTAAAGATGGAGCCAAAATCACCCAAAAAGCAAATAGTTTTGTTATGTAAAAAAGGGGTGGGTTCGGTTAACGGGTTTTGGTTGATTGAGTTTGAGCCGTTGGGGTCCAGTTGGTTTTAGGCCACCTGCCTTTAGTATCCGACTCTAGCTAGCCTAGCCTGGTCAGCTGTTCTGTTTATGTGAATTATCATCCTTTTCATCAACCGCCCCCTTTTGTGGATCTCCCATCCCAACTTTTTTCATAAGCAAAATATTCCTTTGCTCTTCATCTGGTGCAATCCTCGTCTTCCCTCTTTCTGCCTAATGGGGTCTGAGCCTCCCCAAGGCGGCCAACCACCGCCAGTAAAGAACCAAAAAATCATACATGTTTCATAGAAAATGCAAAAAAAAAAAAAAAATTTACGCATGCTACATGTAATAATGAGGTAATTACTTGTTTAGTAATTGTTTAGTAGTATAAAACATAATTCTATTTCATTAAAACAACCAAAATTTAAATCATGAATTGGATGAAAGACAAATATATTAAGTGTGGATGATTTAATTTTAAAATCAAAACTTCATTTTGGCTAGGTATAGAAGCCATATTTTCCTGGTTAGGTAACTTCATCCTCGCAGTCCAGTAAATAAAAGATTTGACAAAATTGAGTAGATATAGAAGCTGCCTGCTATTAATTAAGGAAAAAGAAAATACCATGTCTACGTAATAATTTGGACTTTCCAAAATCAATTGGATTTCCTGTGGCTATATTCCCCCTGTTCTCGTTGTTCACAGTTTTGAGATCTGAGGGCATTCATTCTCAACAGATGTGATAGAAGCTAATTTACTTCTTTCTAAGCAAAAGGTGTAAAGTCATGAATCATAAGACAACCCAATGTAGAGTTAGCTGCCTCAGCCCTTAGCTGACAGTTCCATTTTCCCATCACCATTGTCTCTAGACAATGCTGTAATTGTTCGAAATAGAAAATTTCCATTAACCCAAATATTTTTGCTTACTCTCAACTCCAAAATTTTTAATTGAACTTGCACAAAACAGAGGAACATTTTGTTTTTCTCTTCTTTAATTGAATTAGCATCTGCAATTTTTGCAAATATTAAGATTTTAATTTTGCAAATATTAAGATTTTAATTAAAGACATTTCTACACAAGAAATTTAGAATAGATAAATTTTGATGGAGATGACGACATTTCAGAACATAATTAATCATAATGGGGGACAATTATTCAGAGAAAGTGAGTTCTTAATGATTTCTGGATGACTTTCTTTTTCTTTATCATGATGCTTTTAAATCACTTCCATTATCTTCGAAATAATTAAAAACATTTGGACTTTTTTGCAATGAAAATTTTCTATTCCAAGAGAATCAAAAGCAAACCGTAGTGCGTAACAGAGAGAAGAAAGGAATGGACAAATGAAATGAAAACAACTAGAAAGCCCAAAGCCAAAGAAACATTCAACTGCACATGCATGATGCACCTCACATTAATCAAAACTTAGTGTCCATATCTGAAAGACGAAGATATTTTATAACTTGCCCCCACCATCTTTCCATACTCAATTATCCACGAAATATGCCAGAGCTGAATTCCATCTCCCACTGACCAAGGTTTTTACATTCTCTCTCTTTCTCTCGGCTGAGTAGAAGGAAAAAGGCAGAAAGACCTCAGCAATACATCATTGGCTGCCCGGTTCTTGGGAGCTAGGAATGATTTCCAACTTAAAAATCTATTGTGTTTCTAGATAACTTTGAATCATTACTTCAGATAAGTACGCAAAACAAATAAAGAACATAGATTATAATGCCTGAAATATGTAAAAAGACAGAAAACTGGTTTTGGACTTGAAGCATATCATTCTCTTCTCAACTGTGGAAATATACAAAGTCAACAATTTACTTACATAATTGCAGCCTTCGCATGGGTCCTGAACTTTTAATCTGTTACGAGTGATATCAGCCTTGACAGGCTGTATTTCCTTTACAATATGAACACAACAATAAAGCAACTGCCAGCACTTGGTTCACCCAAATTTCATAATGCATGATAGTGGAAAGGTTTTTTAAAAGGCCTGGACAGTCCTTGCACCTTCACTGCATTTTTTGAGTCCATTGTTAAATCTAAGATTTCTTAGAAGGCCCAAACAGCAGTCATTATGAATCGACATAACAGCAGTTGATAAAATGAGAATAGACAGGATCAGAATTGAGCCTATAAAAGAGCCAATTACCCAACTAGTACTTGTTTTGATTGAACAATAGCGTTTATATTGCCACAGAATACTCAATTTACTCAAAGGACCATAAAAAATAACACAGAGCTCAAATGACTGAAACATTCATGTATTGGTGTACAGCTATATTCCTAATGTCATCACAGAATTTAAGAACCTTACTTACAGAATAACAACCAATAAAATCTCATTGCTCTGTGCATTATCAATTCAATTTTCGTTACCGGTTGCTTGTTCCAACTTATAGTTCAGCTCAGTTGATTTATCATCAGACTGTGAACTGTCTTCTGATTGAACTTTAACAAATTGTCTACTACGTTGCACCCGAATTGGTCTTCCCATAAACATCTGCAGAATAACAACTTCTCAGTTTCTTGATTAAAAAACCAAACGCAGATTAATACTATCAACATGGCAACACACCCTATTCAAAAAGTCAAAAACTCAAATAATCTGGAAAAATTACTAAATAAGGAACTACCTTCCCTTGGAAAGCAGACATGGCTGCATCAGCCTCTTTCTTGGATTTGAATGAGACAAAGCCATACCCAGAAGACTTTCTAGGATTCTCATGAAATATAACTTCAGCAGAAACAACATTAGCACCCTCAGAACTGAAAAACTCTTTAAGATGTTTAGCTCTTGCTTCATATGAAAGATTTGCCACAAACAAGTTGAATGCTGGCACTGGCTTGGGCTTCTCAGGCGGAGCAGCTTTCTTCTTCCTAGGTTTAGCATAATTGAGCCTTAAAGTACGACCCTCTAATTCCTACATCAGTTAAAAAGACAAAAAAAAAAAAAAATCACTTCTCTACAAAAATAACCAAGATAATTTACAAAAGTCCTTTGGAATTTATGTCTAAGTGTACTCTCAATCATTACTTGGACAAGGGAAATTACCTTAAGTACACAATGAATCCATCAAGGTTTTGCCAGCAAGTGCCTTAAAAGCACTTGTTAAATTAGTATTGAAGGAAATATCTTTATTAAATGTATTGAAAATCATCACATTCAGATGATTACCAAGGCATTGAATAAAAATAATTACTTAAATAGTGATCTTAAGGAGTACACGATATCTCAAAAGCAAAGCTGGCAATTTAAAACAGAAACTAATAGCAGAGAAATTCCAGGAAATAATCAAAGGCAATATGCTTACATATGATTCGAGATTATTGAGAGCCGCAAGAGCCTCTTCAGGCGAAGCCATAGAAACAAATGCCAATCCCCTATTTCTGATCTTGTTATGCATAGAGAGCTAAACCAAACACAGTAAAATAAAAAGCACAATCACATCAATTTATCAACCACAAACCAAAACCCAAATTTAACCAAAAAAAAAAAAAATTCAATTCGTAAAACAAAGAGAATCCCAAGAGAAAACTGTTGAAAAAAACCTCAACATCTACGACTGTGCCGTGTTTCTCGAACAAAGAACGAATGTCTTCAGTGGTACAATTCCAAGGCACGTTCTGGGCAATCAATCTAGTTTTCGAGAACTCCTCTTGTTGTTGTTGTTCTTTTACATTTAGAGCTGGGTCTTGAGTAGCGGTAGAAAAATGGAGGATGAAACTGCTAAATCGTGTAGCTTTCAAGCGAAGAGTATTAGTGAGAGGAGACAATGGAGGGAGAAAACAAATTGAAGAAATGTTTTGGATGTAGTTAAAGTTATTACACTGAGTTTGAGGTTTATGTTGGAGAGAGAAGAGAGAAGATTGGTGGGGAAGGCGAAGCAGAGCCATGAGGAGAAACCAAATTAGTTCAGTTTGAGTTTGGTGTTCAGGTTTTCTTGGAGTTTTGAAACAGTGGTTTCTTTGAGGATTAGAGAGTGAGTGAAGGGTGTATCGGATAAGGAGTCGGAGAAAGACACAAAAACAATCTTTTGACTGAGCAACAAAATTAAAAAAAAAAAAAAAAAAAAACAGTATATCAGACAATGACTAATTTACCGTAGGATGTCAATTTTACGGGATTCGATTTTTCATCTAAAGAATAGTGATGAATATTATATTATAAATATAAAAATTAAAATAGATATAATTTTAAATTTTTATTAAATGTTTATATATAATTAATAAATAAAATTTTTATTAGATAATATAAATTATTATTTTAAATTAATTAAAATAAATATATTTTTATTAAAAAAATATATATTTATAGATATTTATAAAATAATTATTTAAATATATAAATTAAAAATAAAAAGAAACTAAAAAATAAATTTTTTTATTTTTTCTAAAACGGTTATAGGTATGAAAATATTTATACATATTAAATATTTACGAAAATGTGAATGAAAATAAATTTTAAATATACGTTAAAAGTGAATATGAATATAATTATAATATAAAAACTTGAAAATAAAGATAGGGATAGCGAGTATTTTACTCCCTTCGTACCATATTGATTCACATCTCAAATTGTTTATGAACAGGAGCAGAACGAGGCCGTTTAAGGGATATAGACAACAAAACCACGTGCTTTAAATTCAATGGGTAGGCTTACTAATTGGGCCCTAAAAGCATGTCCAAATGTTGCGTAAGTTATTTCATTGAAAATGAAAATGAGTGTCAAAACAAGCCGCGTGATCCAGCGTTGAATTTTTAGTTTTACTTTCAAGTTTTAACAAGAAGAATAATATCTCAATCAAATTAAAAAATGAGAATTGAACAGATTTATTTGCTCTTATTGGATAATAATTATCTAAGATAATCTTTATATTTTTCTAAAACTACTCATTTCAGGCACATATTTAACTCCTCAAAATGAATATGAGCCTCCAAATATAAGGAGAAACTTACGGAATAAAATATATCCATGTCTTGTATTCGTATGTTAATCCTGTAACATATCTGATTATTATAAGGATATATAACAATAGAAATGAATCATCAATAAGAAAGGAGCCTTTTAGGAAGATAAGATAGCAGGAGCTGCAGAGTTGTTTTGAACCACAGATACTAATAGATTGCAAAGACAATATGAATCTAACAATCAATTTTAAAATTGCTAAAATTTCCCATTACTGCATTAGTTTGAGCAATTATCTATTCCACTACATCAGATTAGTTAGGACAACGCTAAAGAAAAGCAAAAGATGAAAAAAGGCTTTTTCCTTTTGTGTACTTGGAAGTTGGAACTCAGATATTACTCACAAACTACATACAAACACCGTAGCTTCAGAAAAGCTATCTGTAAATCCACTTCTAACACTCATCGATTCAAAAGAATAACCAATGGACAAGAAGTTAGATCCTATCATGCATGAGATCATATCTTCACTTGTGCATTTTTAAGTCAGGGGAGTTATATCGCAAGGGTGAGAGAGGCTTCCTTGCTGAATCTGGATCAGTAAAGTCAATCTTCTTCTCAATCGGGCTGCATATCTTGGGACTTGATTTTCGCTTGTTTGTCTGTGAGAGAATCAAGCAAATTATAACATTAAATCAATGAACTTGTGACTACTGACTAGGCACATGCAGGAAGTGCACTTGTTTTTACATGTCAAAAACAAGAACTCATGTGCGGATCAACAAATACAGAGAATCCAACATAATTCCTTCCTCACCTTCGCAGATGCACTACCAGTATGCTTCCCCCCAGAACTATGGAGGTTCTTTTCTTTTTGGCATTGCCTCAATAATCTTTTGTTCTCCTCATCCAATAAGTTGTTTTCTTCAAACAGAACTTTGACCTATATAGATAAAATATCTTGTTAAGTTCTACAAGGTAAATGCAAATTTCAACAAGCACCCATTGTCCTTGGTTCTCACCTCTTCTTCAGCTTTACTAAGGTTCACCTTGAGATGTTCCTTGTCTTTCTGAAGGGTCTTTAACTCAGCAGCTAATGACAAAACTTTTTGAGTTGAAGGCCTCAACCTGTAAAGCGCAACAGACCATAAGGATTGATTCAGAAATATGTAAGTAGTCCTTTAGCAGTGAAGAAATGATACGCATCAAACATCTCCATTAACCAACAAAGATGCAGATGCAACATAGAAATAAGAGATGAAAACCCTCACCTATTCCACATTTTAAGCAACCTTTGACATGATTCAAGTGAACTATTTGCCTCCAAGAATGCACGTCCAGACATAACTTCATCTTTACAAATCAATGTTGCTAGAACCGACTCAAGCAAATTCTCTTCCACTGTTGTGCCCTTAGAAGATGAATCAATCTTCAAGGAAGATACATGCTTATCAGTCTGTAGATATCACAGTAGTAGACAAAACTATACATGATGGCAGATTTTCTAATCAATCATAGACTATCAAAAACCAAAACTTATCTCCTGTAAGCGGTTGCATCATGTTCAACTTATGTCACCTCTATCAGCAACAAGGAAGAATAGTTTTATCATGTATGCTCAACTAAGTTTAAATGTTTAACCCATCCTTTCTAAGCTAGGATCCACAAAAAAATCAGCAATTAAATCCAACAAAATCACATTATTTACTACGAGAAAATAAAATGTAACTAAACCTCAAAGCAAAGTAAAAAAAAGAAGAAGAAAAACATTTCATTACCCCTTGGCTATCATAACGGTGTTTGTAGAACCTTAATTCTTCAGTTAACTTCCCCAACTCTTCTTCCAATTCATGAACCCTAATCTCAGCTTCCTTTGCCCTCTCATCAGCCTCATTCCCAAAATCCATCAACGCTTCCCTATCATGATCATAAAGCGAACACTCTCTTTCCCATTTGTTACACTGAGTCAACAAATTTGCACACTCCGCAGCAAGCTTCTGATTTTCCTCCACGAATCTCTTCAACGCCACCGCATTCATATTCGCTTCCGCCTTAAAAAAAAAATCAATAAAAATGTCAATAATTTCACATTCTGAATGTAAATATATTCAAAACATTACCTTTTTTTTTTTAATTTTGAGTTGACCGACCTTTGATCGTTCGATTATTTGATCTTTCTCTTTCAATTTTGAGAGGAGGAACAGGCACTGGTGACGGAGGCGACGCTGGGCTTCTTCGGCGGAACGGAGTTTCAATTGCAAAGACTGAGTGGAGATTTGAAGACCTAAGGAATCTTCGATTGTTTCTTTTATGTAATCATCGATTTCTTGAGGAATATCCATGTTTTCAATTACTTAAAAATTAGATTCTTGAAGAACCCTAGATCTCTCAAAAAAATTACTTTTTCTTTTGAAGAAAACTGTAGGTTAAAAAGAGAAAAAAAAAAAAAAAAAAAGGAGAAATTAGAGATACTGAAAAATTAGAGTTAGGGTTTCGAAAGGAATAACAGAGAAACTAGGACCTTTTGGAGGTTTTGGAAAGATTTTTTTTTTTCTTCCTTATTTTATCTTTCACTTTACTTTTGTTGTTCTCACTTTTGCTGGGTTGGGTTTCAAATTGAAGAAAAGAAGATGTGACTAGCCGTTAGAGTGCGGCTTAGACGCCCAAATAAAAATTTCTAATATGGTCCCCACTGCTGACGTGGCAAGATCTTTTCTTTTCCTCTTTTTAATTTGGGGTGTTTGGGCGATATTAGCTTTGCCCTGAGTTTTATTATTAGCCCAAGTAAAGCCAGCCCAAGACCAATTACATTGCTAAGAATATATAAATATAAACCCAATTCTTTAAGTACGAGGATAGACGTATTTATTTTTGAATCAAATTTTTGATTAATATATTAAAAATATTTTTTTTTATTATTTGAGGAAAAATAATTCAAAATTTATTATTTAGATATGAAAATTATACATGAATTACTTGAATCAAATGTTCGTGAACACGTACAGTTATTTTTAAAAAAATATTATGACCAACTTGATTTCAAAAAATATGCTAATAAAAGACAATTATAAATGCACTTAAGCATACAAGTCTTTAGCACACCCACTCAGTGGGTGAAACAATAAAAAAAAAAATTATATCAAACATAGTTATTTGAACATGTAAAATAAAGAAAAATAGGAATGTATCTCACGTATAATTTTGAAAAAGAGAAACAAACAAAAAAGAAATGTAAGTTTAAAAAGAATTGGATTTAAATCCCAAAAGATTAAAATATTTTTTTAATCTATGTTTCATAATTAAACAATGAGTTTCCTTAGTAATTTTTTAAATTGAATTGGTATAATTTGATATGTTTTTATTATTAAATTATTAAAATTTAACACGCATATCATGTGAACGAAATGAAATAATGTTTAAAAAAAATTGTATTTAAAAAAAATAAAAAAATATTGTTTAACAAAGGAGGGTAACTTTTTAAGTAGGTAATTTATTTTAATCGAAGAAACATATGTATGTCTAGGTTTAAATTTTTTAAAATTATTATTATTTTTTTTTTCAATTCATTAGTTTTGGTGTCAAGAGTTAAGGATTTTTTTATGTAGTATTGATGGGATTTTTTTATTTTCAACTTTTCAATTGAATTCGTGTCACTTGACTAAAAATACCATTTTAATTAGGGGTTTTATAATTAGTTTTAATATTATTGTCATCGAATTTCTTTAATTTTTTCATAAATCTTTTTATTGCTAGCATGATTTTATTATTTTTTGTTCAATCATAATTTTAGTTATTTATAGTATTTATATTAAAGAGAATCATATTCAACTGCTTAAAGTGAGAACTCAAATCATACAAACATTTCTTAACATTTTGGACCCACGAAAGGAGTACATTTAAAGTTTACAACAACTTAAAATGAGGAAAAAAGGCGAATGAAGAGGCAAGAAATTCTACATGAGGGGTATACAGTGTATATGGATCATGTTAGACCAAGCCTGATTCACATTTTAAATGCTTGTTTAAGGTCTGTCCCAGCCCATTTATTAAAAGTTTATTTAGGCTCATTTAATTTAAATATGTTATTAAATATTAAAAATGATTTTGTATTAATATTTAAGTTTTTAAATTAAAATTAAAATAATTAATTATTAAAAATAAAATATATTTATGGAGTGAGCCAAACTCAAAAATTTTTATTTAAGGTTCATTCTAGATCGAGCATGACGGATAATCCAATGTATAAAAAATCTAATGATGACGACATTATTTATTAAAATTAGATAAATTATTTGATATATTATTAATAAAAATTTTTAATTTTATAAACCAAATTAATAAAATAATATATATTTTATATTTTAAATTATCATAAAAAATATATGTTATCATCTTAATTTTATTTATAAAATTAAAAAAGTTCACTCTTAATATCTTTCATAATTTCTAAAAAAAAATTATAAAACTACAAACATGCATATTAACTTCTAATAATAATGTTGTAAAGAGATATCCTAGGTAGCTAGGCTTCCTTGTGTTTCTCATTGCCTTTAGCGTCGACTGATTCCATGAACGATTCCATCTTGTCTTCAATTTCTTGCACCTGCATTTTAGTGGAAAATAATGGTTAAAATATCAATGTACAGATTAAAAAAATATATATACACTTATGTCAAATGAGCCAACTAATTCGATTTGACCAAGGGAGATAAGCTAGATTTATTTATTTATTTATTTATTACTGAGGCATATGTACATATATAAAAAATAAATAAATAAAAGTTAGGCTACCAACTCAATCATAAAGGTATCAATAATTAATTTTACTAATAAAACTTTTTGGTAGTCATATTAGGAATTTGGGATGGGGTTCAGGGAAAAAAGGAAAGTTAACCTTTTATATATAATATTACTTTAAACAATTATGAGAAGAGTTGATCATGCCTTGTTGCAGGATAATTTTTTATAAAATATTTATATATATATATATATTCTTTATATCTTAATATATTTTAATATCAATATAATTTTATGTTGTTAGTATGATGGTTCTAATAATGAAATAAAAATAATTATTTATAAATTATATAATTTAAATCATGATGGTACTATATATGAGTCTAATAGTTGCAAGTTGAATTTGTTAATAGGGATTAAGGATCATCTGATCTACTTGGACTTGATTCTTATCATGTTCATGTTACTATGCTACTTTTTTAATTTTTGTTGCTTAAAATATGAGAAATCCAACTTTGACTTAGAATTTTTGCGGAAAATAATATGGAAGGATCTCCACTGCAACCTACAGGTATATGTGCTAAGAAATAAAGATTTGCATAGGTGAAAAACAAACCTTGTCAATGAGATCTCCTGCAAGATGGGCGTCCTTTGCTGTTTCTTCGGCTAAATCTTCAACCAATTCAAGAGTAGCTTTAAGTTTTCCACCATCCGGCAGCTGATCACCAACCTCATCTGCTATCTTTTCCACTTTCTCTGCTACTTCTTCTACAACATCCGAAATATGTTCAGCTGCCTCTAGTATGTTGTCGGCATCATCTGCTTTTACAGATATGGACCCCATAAAGATATGTTAATCAAATGACAAATTATTACTTGAAGAAGAAGAAGATCCTCACTTTTCAGTTTTAGTAATGGCCCCCATTTGCTGGTCGTGAAGGGTAGGAATACTGATATTACCGTTCCCAGAGCCCACAGTTGCCTGAAGATGGTATAATTGTAAGCAAACATGGGAAGTATTGCTGACCCAATAGATTTCTATATTTGACTAATTACCAGTTGCTGGAACCAGGAATAAGATTAAAAGGAAATGGTGGTTCCCCCGATTCTAAACTGCAGCAGACGGCCATATTGTTCCTGCGCATCCCCTCAATATTATCTATTAGGGAAACAAGCAAAAATAGCTGGCGTATGGAGATTCAAAAGTGGGAAAAGAACAACAAATTGAACAATCTTGGGAAATAGAAACGAGATTATTACATCTTCCTGATTCCATTAGTCTGCAATCCAAGGCCGCCAGTGCTGACTGATAATGGCAAGGTTTGATTTCTCTGAAAAAGCTGTTCATGCTTTTGCTTTGAGATGGCAGCAGGCTGAAATCTGAACAAGGACTCCTGATGAAGGCACTTAACTTTGCAAGGAAAAACTGTTGATCCGGCCGACAACATACTGAATGATATTTATTCTGAAACCTTGAATCGCCTAATTTACGTGAATGCAACCAACTACCAGCTAGCTGAAACTTTGAATCAAGAAGGAGCACTGTGATAGGATGATAAATTATAGGCTGCTTAATTTCCTTTAAGAGAAAAAAAAAATGGGGTGTGGTTGGGACCATGAATTGATGAGTGCTCAGAATTGATTGGACCAAATATTTAATAGCGAGCAGTTGTTTTCGAGATTGCAGAGAAGGCTAATTAGAGTAACCATCTTATTTCATAGCGATTCAACCGGTGAGATTCGTGCTTGTAATTGAAAATATGTATAATGAAATACCAGATTTCGTTTAATTGATTTGTATAATGGATTGTATATTTTAGAAATGCACAACAATAATATAAATAACATTAAATTAATTCATAAAGTTAATGAACCCTAATGTATCCTTACAATTAATTGAGCATACTCAGCTTCAAAAATTTTATTAAACATATATTAGTATTTTTTAGTGATAAAAAAACTCACATTTCATAATTTTTGGACTAATTTAACTCCACTATCTTATGATTAAAGAAATGGGTTCAATATAAAACTTAATTTTCCAAAGGAAAAATTTTATTAAACATATATTAATATATTGTTAGCGATAATAAAACAAATTAAGGTTCAGAATTTATTTTAAAGGATGTTCATATATAACTCCGAATTTTTTTACTTGTAAAATTAACTTTAATATATATGACCGTTAGTTAATTAGTTCCTGTATGTATTAACAAATGATTGTTTGGTTAATTATACTAAGAAATATGCAATAAATACATTATATATTAACAAAAAAATTTTCACATATATGTATATGCTTGGTTCTATTAATGTAGCATTTTTAATGAATTGAATTTTGTTGTATGTTTCACCAACCAAACTAAACCAAAGATAACAAAAAGTCTTGAAACCAAGAATTATGCATAGCCTGCCTCCCATCTATTAGCATGTGCCATTTGTTGATTTAGGCTACGTTGAATTATATAATTTGAAATCAGACTATGAACATAAAGGACAAAAAGAAACGATATATATGAACATCCTTTAAAAATGTGAAACATGTGTTATTCTTTTGAATCCGAACCTGGAAATAGGATTGCAGCCCACATTTTCGTTTTTTTTTTTTCATGGAAATGGTAGGTAAGTAGGAAAATCTGTGTATTGGAATTGAGTGTAAAATTGAAAGTTTTTAATTTAAACTTTAATTGTAGTTTAAAAATTAAAAATATTCAATATTCAATATTAATTAAGTTAATATTTGAAGAAAAACATGTGATTAATGTATTCATTTAAATTTAGTGAAAATAAAGCATTAAATATAAATAATTTAACTGATCATTTAACCAATAGCTATTATAAAAGGTGGAATAAAAAGAAAAAAAAATATGTAGGAAATCAAGCTCTCGCATCCAATGCCAATATAGAGTAAAATATTCTGTCTCTATGTCTATATCAATCTGGAACGTAATGATTATATACATGTGACTTTGTTGTTGACATAATTGCTGTCAACCCAGAATTCTAATTTCTGGTCGATAAGAGTACCAACTATAGATGGCAAATTAATATGGAAAATGGAAAGTGCATGTATAATCTGTGGGCTGCGGCAGTCAGCTGGAATTAATGGATGAGGTCACTCTCCCCCCATCCGCTGGCATGAAAATCACTAGCATAACACATGAATAATTCATTTTTCACTACATTGTTTTATTGGAGTCCTCAAACCTTTTAAATGGTTTCATTTTGATCTTCATTTAATTATTTGAGCAATCATATCAAATCTTGTTAAAAAGAGTTTAACTTTTTTTCACATATTCTTTTATTCAAAAGTGATAGAACCGGTCTTACAGAAAATCTGATTGGGTTTTTCTGCTCAAGTAGTACTACAGAATGTTTAGGGTAAAATTAATGATTGGGAGAAATTAAGGTTAATAAAAAATGTAATTAAATAAGAGAGAAGCAATTAAAAGGATTCATTGTAACTCTATTCATCCTAATTATTGCAAATGAAGAAAGCTGCATGTTTGCCTAAGCATGATCCTCGGCTTCTTCCTTTGCCTCTTTGGCTTTTTCATCAGTACTGTTTGGTTTGATCAAAGATTCCACCTTTTCTTCCACTTCGTCTACCATATCTTCTACCTGCATAGATATATACATATATAGTTGAATTAGTAGCCTAAGCTAATAAAATATAATCATCAATTGGAAATTACTAGGAAATTAATGCAGTTTTGTCCATCTAGATTTCTGCAAAAGTAGACAACAAACATGTGCCGGTGAGTACTTCATTCTACATGTAATATTGTCAAATTGACATAAAATAGTTATTCCAATTAGACTATTAAATGAAGACCAAGTCAGTTACCTTTTTTTTTATGGAAAGAGGATTCAACGGACTTGAACTCTTGCTTTGCAAGTAATTAATCCTGCACTCTAAATGGCTGGATGAACGGTCTAGGTTAAATTCTTAGGTTCTACAGTTGCTTCTTCAAGTTTTTTAATTTGTTTGAAAAGCAGCACTATTAATCATGTGCTAAAGCTAAATAGGATTCATATAATAATAAAATATCAACTATCTAATCCTATTGTTAATAATTAATTAAATATGCTTAAACAAAAAGTCAACAAGGGATTAGGTAATAGTATAGCAAGAAACAAAAAAAAAAAAACCTTGTCAATGAATTCTCCAGCAACGCGTGCACCATCAGCGGTGTCTTCAGCCATCTCTTCAACAAATTCAAGGGCATCTTTAAGTCTGCCTTCCGGTAGATGATCACCAACCTTATCTGCGACTTTCTCAACTTGCTCCGCCACCTTTTCTACAATATCCGTTACAGCTTCAGCCGTGTCTATTACAGTTTCAACTTCCTCTATACAGATATGACATATCTTAAAGTCAGGCTTGAGGACTAATAAAACAATAAATTACTTTGATTGACAAATATGATTCCACAAACTAAAAATGTTGATGATATAGCAGATTTATCATGGGGATATGACATGAAATGTGATTAACTTTTAGTTAGTCTCCACCTTTCAGTTTTAATAATGGCCTCCATTTGCCCCTCCAAAAGGGTAGGATTATACTCAATAGTATTCCCAGAATCCAAGGTTTCCTGCTGAAAGAAATGAATGTGACAAACCTCATTGTAATACTAGAGATAAGAGTGATGAAATAGAAGATTTCTTTCTTTTTTTAATAGTAGGGAAAAGCAGGTCATAAGACTAACCAGGAACCAGGCCCAGGAGTAGGATTAGAAGGGATTGGAGGTCCTGATCCAACACTGCTGCAGACGACCATGTTCCTGTATCTGTCAGTATTTTGTACTCTAAGATCGGAGCCCAGAGACTGCAACTTGTGGTTTCTTAGAACCTGATATTTTCCCTTGTGTTTTGATATCTCCAGGAAATTATTTAAACAAAGAATGGATGGCTGAAATTTGCAGGACTCCACTCGAACTTTGAATGGAAGGATGGATCCTGCAGCACTCGACATAACTTGTCTGTGAAACGATCTTTACGTTTATGCAATAACAGAAACACGAGAAAATTCACAATGAAGAAAAAGCTTTGAAAGAGTTTTGATGAATTGCAGGCTTTTCTTGAAGAAATTATTGCGTGTGGAATGACAGGTGATTAGAAATGGTCGAACCAAATGTTTTATAGGCAATGGCTGTTGACGTGGATTAGGAAGAAGGACAGATATTATAATCTATCCTAAGTCAATGAATCCTAATCCTAGTTTTCCATATGTATGTTCAATTTTATTATAATCTTCAAATTTCTTAGTTATTGCATCATAATTAATTTGAGTTGCATATTCTTTTTTCAAAAAAACAAAATTGTAACTTAAAAATTGAAAAATGAGTTAAAGAGATGTTGAGATTTAAATATCATTGAATAATATTTTTTAAAAATAATTATATAAATCAACTAAATTAAATTTTAAATTTTTATATACTTATTCATCAATAAATTTTTTTTTTGAAATGATCATTACTTCAAGTTGGGTGCATATGATAGTTTCTCCTTCTTTATTTCCATAATCCATTTAATATATGACCAGCGCTGTTTTTCTTTGACTGGTTGAGCTGAGCTGTGACATCTTGTAACCAAAGAAATAAAGAGGCTGAAATGGGTTTATCCTAAACAATCGAGACAATCTAATTGCTATATGATTACAATATAATAAGATTCTTAAAACTAATATAAAGAATTGTATAGTGACCTAATTATCCTTTAAAACTTTGTGATTTGACACTCAAATTTTTGGCTTTTATTTAATCAATGGTTTATCTGATTAAAAAATCTTTCAATGACGTTTGTTCTTAAAAGGCAGGCCGCTCGTCTAACCAAAATATGCGTTAGTCATTGGGCATCAAATCATGGGTTTAGCACTATTGTCTTTGTTAACGACCTTTCCTATACTCCAAGCCCAAACAATTTCAATAGATCTGTTTTCTTTTTTTGGGCTGTCAATTTTTCCTCTTTTTGGGCCAAGTCGAACTGGGGATGAAGAAAAACCAAACTGTTTTTCATTCGCTGCAAGTTTGTCATTTGGTCAGCCTCTCATACATTCATAGGGACAAAAACCATGAAAGACACTAGCCGGCTTTATATGCAACGGGACCTGAGTTTCCAGAAGAAGGTCCTGGTTGATGGTTATTATCACATCATTGAACTAGATTCTCAAATTGTTTGGGATTTTAGTAGTCCAGGATTAAAGGTTACCTGTATCAAAAGATTATTTGAATTAGATTTCAAGGCCGAAATCCCAACCAGATGGTAAACTCTTTTGCAGCTGATTCACAGCTTGATATCATTTACAGTTCTCATATTTGATTTTTTCCATCCAAGAACCCAAGGAGAAAGCACCCTGTTTCATCACAGAAGGCCGGGTTTGAGGTCAATAAGAATAATTAATGACGGTAAATAAGATTTGAGAATATATTTGTAGCAGATATGAGGTCCATTTCGTTTGACAAGTACATAAATTCCCTAGCCCTGACCCCAAGGCAAACTGATCAGAGATACTGTTAAATCCAAACCTAAGATACAATATGATCGTCATGATTAGGACTAGCTACCAAAAACTTGCAAAGACTAATTGTTCAAAGACTAACTGAGTTCTGAAATTCCTGTCCTAATACCAATTGGTAAACACAACCAAACACATACTGCACACACTTCACTCTTTATTCTTTACTAAACCCTGAAAGAGACATGTTTCTTAATTTTCTTCATTTCTTCTCTTCCAATTTAAACAAAAGTTTAAGTTCACAGCTCATTAGAGTCTTTCTTTGTTTCATCTTTTCTTGAATTCTCTCTTCGTGGCAATGAAAAACAGAAAGCTTTTCCCGGCTTTTACAGAAACAAACCAAACTATAGACTGCCCTAACTTCTGTGACCCTGCCTGCCCTTACAACTGCTACCCTTTCCCTGACTTTTATTACCTATCTCCACCGCCGCCGCCTCCTCCACCTCCTCCCCTCTCTGACCAAAACCATTACATCTCACCTTATGTGATCATCTTAGTTTCTGTTCTAGCCAGTTTCTTCCTTCTTGTTGGCTACTATGTCATTATAGTCAAGTCATGTTTTGGTTGCTGCTGTTCAAGAAATAACAGGCAACCACAAACTCAAACTGATGCTTCGGATGAAGAGTTCCTTGATGAGAACCGAGTTGATCATCCTATTTGGTTCATCACCACTGTGGGTTTGCAGCAATCAATCATAAATTCGATTACGGTTTGTAAGTACAAGAAGGGTGAGGGATTGATTGAAGGGACAGAATGTTCAGTATGCTTGAATGAGTTTCAAGAAGAGGAGAGAGTCAGGTTATTGCCTAAATGCAACCATGCTTTTCATATTTCCTGTATTGATACTTGGCTAAGGTCTCACACTAATTGTCCCTTGTGTCGAGCGCATATTGTCTTTGATGCTGTTTGTGCCACTCCAACTTCTACGGATCAAAATTCTGAAAATATGGATCTAGCTGTCGATAACAGCATAGAAAATTCTGAGATTGGAGCTGAATTTACTAGTCAAAATCAGGGGAGAAACGGTGAGCCTTGTGAAAACAGGACCAGAGCAGATGCTGCAAGTGAATTACCAGAGACTAATGACCAAAGAATTTTAAAGGAAGGTGTCTATTCTGATGAAAATGCCGCTTTGGTAGTCAGTGATTGCATTGACAGTGGCCAGGTTGTGGCTAAAGAGATACAAATAATCAAGAGGTGCGTTTCCATGGACTCTTCTTCAGCTGCAAGTTTGTTTCCCGGTTTGGCAAATTTATGTCTCGTTAAATCAGAAGGAACTTCTTTTAATCAACATGAAGATGTTGAGAACCCATATTCAAGCATCATTACAAAGCAAGGTGAGGCGAACTCAAGCGAGTTTAGGCTAATGGGTAATTCTTCCAGCGCTCAGCATCTTCATTTGAGTCCTGTTCCCATGAAAAGATCATTCTCCTGTGGTGGAAGGTTTTTGTCATCCAAACGGTGCTGCAGCATGAATTCAATTCTTCCCCTGTAAAGTTTTTTACTCTTTTAGATATAGTTTTGGCTTTAAGAGGGCGATATTTGCTAAACAGAGAGAGCATATGCAGTACGCACCATAAGTTGGGGGTTGCTTTTTTCTGCTTCTCGCACCAAAGCATGAAATCTCAACCCTTAACGATGCTTAGCTACGACGTATTAGAGGAATTTTAAAGACGAAGTTCTGTTCAGAAGAATAAATTTCATGTATTTGCCTAATTGCCTAGGTTTCAAGTCCTGAACAAGAACTTGATTGAAGCTTCAAGCTCAACTTAAATATACTAAGTGATACCTGTGTGCAAGAACTCATTATGTTGTTATTCAGTAAAGAGAAAGTGATCGAGAGAAGAAAATTTTCTGCAGAAACCAACTGATTTCAGCTTTGATTTTTGCTTTTCACTAGGTGAACTGTCTTTTTTGATAATTGAAATATATTCATTATCTAAGGAAGCAGGATAAACATCTGCTACAAAAGAACATGTTTTTGGAACCATTGAGGTTAGTGAGAGCTTCTAACCTAATATTCCATTTATTACATATTAAGCTATTAACAAAGCTGCTAACAACGTTACAATTTAAATTGTATATCAACAGAAATAGCCTGTAGGATTCTATTAGCGGTAAGAACAGCACCACCACGCTTCTTTAGGTTCTTTGCTCACCGAATGTGATAGAGATATACTAGCCGGATGGCTGTTAATAATACAGCTACGAGGTCTCTGCATTTAGATTTCTGAATAATCTATTGAAACTCAACCCGCCATCCCCAGAAGCTCTGAATGTAAGAAGTTTCTCCAATACCTTCCTCCAAATATCTTTTGAAGAGTGAACTGTCATTTGACGATTATGGTAAACTTTTATTATTATAGGCAATTATTATCTTAAGAAAAATAAACATGCAACGAACAATTAAAAATCTAATTATTACATTCAATGAATATTCTAATTACTAAAATGTGTCAGAAGTTTAAATCAGTTCTTGTTGTAACATCTTTTCGCTATAGTTAGGTATGTAAATGTAATTATGTGCGCTTCTAAAAGCAAAACCTGTTGAATTCTTCGGAGAAACTGGAAATAGCTTAAGCCTAGGGAGAATTTAAACTATGTCATGGTTGTTATGCTATCTAAATCAAGCCTGTTTATATTCTTGAAAGCTCTATTAACCTAACCATTTGTTAAAGTTTTATATTTTGATAGTAATACTGTTTAGAAACATATGGAGTAATGGAGGAAAATCAAGCAGTCTTTTTACTCTTTTTTTCAAGTTAACAACAAGAAGAAATCATAATTTACAGGTTGCTTGAAACCTGGTTACAGCCACTTTCTTGGTTACCAATATAGGCTGCCGAAACAGTCAACTTCCTGTGCAGTCAAAACTTACCTAATTCTGGTGAATTGGGTTTTTCTTCCCTTTTGAGCTTCCCCATCATGGCCTAATTGCAATCTAGTTGATCCACATCTCTTTACTCTAAAGATGATGATCTAAGCTCATATCTTCTCTATTTGTGTGCATGTCTAACATTGCAGGGTTCTTGTGAATACGATTTCATTTCTCAACAAATCTGAATGGTTGCTTCTCCAATTATGAACTGATACTGACATCAGTCATCGATCGAAAGCCTTTTCGGTATTGTGCTCTTGTGCTTGCAGCCTTGCCCTAAGCCTAGTCTTTAAAGCCAGAAGAGTGGCACAAACTGAGCCCAGCCAAACTACCAAGCGGATATCGGAGAAAAACTCTATTTGACTGTAATTAAGGCCTAGAATTATCTATTTGAGGCTCGGCGCCACCAACTTACATCCCTGGGCCCAAAAAGAACAGCCAGGCTTAAGTCTGGCAATTGGTAGAATTTTTTAAAGGCCCAATGCATGTAATCGAAGTTTGACCTTCCTCTAAACAAACCACCCGTCCGATCCTACTATTTGTTTTTTAAGCCAGATGGTGCTGTTAAAGAAAACTGATTGCTTCTATAACTTAAATCTTGCTGCTTAATCAGCAAGAGTATTGCCAACGGTCTGGTGGAAGAACTCTTTAAATTTTGAGATTTCATATTCAAATTTTATCATATGTGAATGTGATTTAATTGTGCGTTAACTTTGATCATTTATATGCTAATTCATTGATTAGTTTGTTTATATGATTTAAATTAATAATTTTTTAATAAATATTATAACTTCTTTTGAACAAGTAATTAATAATATATATACATACAAATATATATATATACCTAGAGTAGTCCAAAACTCCTATTACTTTGGGCATCTTTTATCTTCACATGATTTCTCTTCAAATTCACAGGGGATTTTCGTCAACTTCAAATCTCCCATTTTCTAGTGCTTACCTGATCTCTGTTAAGTCGGGACAAACACATTAAAATTAGCCAACTTGACGCATTCCGACGGAAATGCCATTAATAAAACGAGTGCCAATGGAGAGAGAAAACCATTGTCAAACCGTATTATCTCCATATTTATGATAGTTGGTGGCATAGAGCCTCAATTATCTCCATATTTATGATAGTTGGTAGCACAGAATTATCTATTCGTCCTCCCCTTTTGTAGGGGGGAGGCGTTACTGAAACTCCATAAACAAATCGACTCACGATTCATGCAGTTCTTCTTGCCTTCTGACTTCAACATTGTACCTGCATTCAAGTTTGTTGACTAAATTGTAAATATGTACTTTTAACAACTATACAATTGTAGTAGATTGTATGTTCCACAGCTATTTTAAAACTAAATTAAATCTTCCATGATCGAAAGATCTCGTCAGATCTTGTTTGTATTACTCAAAAAGGAGTGATTGAACTTAATATCCTCCAATATGCACGGAGACACTGATGATTTAATTTTTTAATGCAAGTGCATTCTTATGTTCACGAGGCCAACTCAATTGTTAGACATTAATTATGGTGTCCTTTGGCACACCGGTGCAGTCAAGTGCCCCTTATTTTTAATTGGATTGCAAAAAGTAAATCGTGATGTTAGTGTCAACGCATTTTAAGCTATAGATGATGATTGATAGTTATTTGAAATTTTTACATGGTAATAATTTTAGATTATTGAAATGGTGAGATCACTGTTGTTTTGTAGAGTGATTTGAATCTCATCCAATTTAATGTATTTATAAAACTTAGTTCATTGTATTTTGGTTTTAAAAGTTATAAGTAAAATTCCAAAAAAACACTAAGAAATTCTAATAAAAACAAAGTTCCTTTGTTTATTTTCATGTAAAGCAAAAGTAAGTCATGGGTAGGTTTGATTGAGGGTAGATAATTTGTGTTATTTATATCGTATAAAATATTATATTTGTATCGTATTTTATATAAAAATTATATTATAATTTTTAGTGATATAAAAATATAAAATATAATTTTTTTTATTTTATCAAATATATTTAAGATTTTTTAAAAATTTTAAATTATATTATTTTCATATTCTTTATTCATATAATTTTTATCTCATATAATTGTATTATGTTTTAAATTATGAAATTTAGATAAATTATACGGATGAATTCACTATAATTGTCACCTTTAGATCAAATATATAAGTTGGTGTATCATCACAACTGCTGGCATTTTAGTACATATTCTTAATTATTATATGGGTAGAAAAGAAACGATGCCCATCCGCCCATTCATGCGGTTATTATTGTCTTCAAAATCACAATGATTTCTATTTGCAATCATTTCTTTGAAGAAACTTCGTCGATACTACGTGAAACTCTCCATTTTTAACAGGTAAAAGAATCTCCTGTCATTCCAAGCTTGACACACCCCTTTTCCTTGAATCTGCCTGCCTTTGTCTACTTCTTTCTACAGTTAAAGCAATTGGACCTTCATTATATAATACATGGTAGTATCAATCTCAAATACATGATAAAACAACGCACTTCGCAGGACATGGCCTGTCTTTTTCATTATTTTTTAATCAATAATAACTTATCTAATGTATACTCATTATTTACCATTTATATTTATAATTTTTTTTTTACAAAAGAATCATAATTTGGAGATGAAAAATAAGATTTAAAGCAGCTCAAATTTGAAATTTAAATATCATTTTTTAAAATATTTGCATGAATAATTGAATTAAATTTTGAATTATAAGAATCTGATTTGTTAGTGTACAAAAGTTTAAAGATGTACAAAAAAATGTGGGCCAAAACATATTTCAAATCTGAAAATATATCATCAATCAAATGATAGTTATAAACTTGGCTCTTTCTAAAGTTGCTCATGGCTAGCTACATTTAGGCCCCTTCTCTCTCCTGCCCTACCTGACTTTTCTGGCTTTGCTTTTCCCCTAAAGAGACAACAAAAATCTAATGGATCTTTATAGTAGGCCTGTGATGTTTTAATTTAAGATAAATAGTAGTATCAATTTGTTTTCATCATGCAAGTTTTAGAAACCAAGTTCCACGTTCTGTCAATTGTATATGGTACTTTAGGTATGGTTTCCAGATCATAATTTACAATGATTAAAATAATTTATTGCGTGTTATATCGGAAAAACAGAGGAATTCAGTGTATATAAAATATATATTTCAAGAAAAGAAAAAGAAAAACCAATTGCAACATTCTATGGGCAGCAATACCAATCCCTTTTGCTGATTTTCAACTCCACCAAACAATTCGTAGTTTTTTTTAACAATATGTTGCCACAAAGGGAGAGAAAAGGGCATAAGAATCAAGAATTTTATAATCAATGATAGAATATAATGGCGGAAGATAATCATCAAAAACTCTAAAAGATTAAAAAAAGTTACACCATCAAATCTGGAGTTCACTGTTTGATAAGGAACGTGTGGCACCCACAAATAATTAAAAGTTTGTAAAGCTAGTTTAAATTCAGAAAGTGAGTGAGTATTGAACTGGCCCGGAGGTATCATAAAAAAATGGAATTGCAATGGGGTTGTCAAGGAAACAGCAAGATATTGTTGGAAAAAGGAAACATTTATTCTTTCTGTTCTTTCCTGGAAGGAGCAGGGCAATGCTAACAGTGATCATCCGGGAATATATTGAAGGATCCTCTGTCTGTCTGCCTCTAAATTAATGCAAAAATTACCATATGGTAAGATTGAGTTTAGTTAATTTATACAATCACATTTAAAAAAAATAATATTTAACAAATCTGATTTCAAATCTTAATACTTATAATTTTTTTATCTTAAATTAACGACCAATTTTGTAAAGAAAAAAATTACTGTATGAATTTCAATATCAAATATATATATATATATACACAAATATAATTAGCATACAATCACAAAGCCAATACTATAAGTTAATGAAGGCCTTACCTTCTAAAAAAGTATTCAAAGTTCAAATCTTTCTTCTTCTTATGTAACTACTATTTTTTTTTAAAAAAAAAAATAAGTTGCTCAATCTCTTAAATCATGACAAAATATATCATATCTAACAGTTTAAAACAAATAACTGCAGATCGTGTATTTGAAATAATTCTAACAATGCACGAAATAACCCTAATAAGCAATTACCAATAAGATTCAAACTCAAAACATTTTCATCGATGAAGATTACTTTAATCTATTAAACCAACTATTTTAGTGTATGTAACTGCTATTTATTAATTAGAAAAGATCTCAACCTACATAGCAGTAAAAGAAAAAAGAAAAAACTTTTACGTATACCAGACATAGAAGGAGGCTATTTCTCAGTTCTCTCACAATTTTAAGGCGTGTAGCAATTTGTATTGTACTTTAAACTGTTAATAAGTTATATTGTCAAAAGAAGCCAGCCGGAAGATCCGGGCATCGCTGTCTTAATTGTCAATTATTTGATCATAAAAATTTAAGAAAGACACAATTGTAACAGGATCCTGTCTAGTATTCTTATGTACTGTACGTGCCTACCTGTGGAGAGCACAGTTTTATGGCAATTTTTTTTCTGTACTAAAAATAAGAAATAGAATTTGATTGGTGCATGCCTCTATTAGCAGGAAAGGAAAATATGCCCAACATTAGGAAAAACATTGTACGCACTACATTGTATATCTCAAAAATACGAGGGAAAAAGACAAGTTCAACTTGCAAGAAATTAGAGAGCAAAGAACAATGGAATCCCCTTTGATCCATCCATTTTTGGAGCCAGATAATTAACCCCAATCACAGCAGAACAAAAAACATAATCAGGGCTTCACATATGTGTTAACTAAAAGGCAGCTTCTTCTTGGATTCTGCGCAGCATTTGGTTAGCAGCAGCAGCAATTTCATCCACAGTGTTCAGATGGCATCCTTCCTCAACCTGTCAAAATTAACATATATCCAAAAAACAACCGTAATGTAAAATGATAGTTTCGATGGAATGATAAAAAAAGGGTATTGAAATTAGAGAAAGAATTGATAAATAATTGGCTTATTTTATTCCAACCTTGACGCTAATTGAATACAAAGCCATTTCTTCTACGGTTGTGACATTGAGGTGGAGAATGGTGAGCCTTAGGCTTTGCAATCCAGCGACCAGTTTCAAGAGCTGTCTGGGTCGTTTCTTTGAGAGTATCTTGAGGTTGGCATGGGTCTCCACCATGGTCACTTCTATGTCCGCCACGCTTTCGGCGGCGGCCATGGGCTCAGCTGCCATGGAGTGCGAATTATTGCACTGAGTTGCACGAGTTGAGAACTGTGGAAAGGTGAAAAACTCAGCAAACGGTGAAGGGTTGCTATTATGTTCTGGCTGTTGACTAGTCCTCTTATGAGCCTCCGTGGACTGCAAGAGCTGCTCTAATTCCTTAACAAAATTAATCGCTCCACCAATTATCGATGCTTGATCACCCTGAAAAGGTTAATTCATTTAGTTGTCAGATAAAAAAATTTAATGCGTTGTAAAAGTTATGTAGATAGCTGACCTAGGTATTAGTCTAAAATGGTTTTCATGAAAGTAAGGAATCCCTAAACTTTTTCAGGCCAATGCCTTTTACCATTCTTCAACCATTTGAAAATCTAAAAAAAAAATTGATTAATTGGGGTTGTAGAAAACTTAGTTATCGAGGTGAATAAACTTGTTCTAAAAGTCAATTATTACTTTATTAGTCGTAATTATTAAACACAAATAAAAGAGTACCCTTTGAACATAAGAAGGTGGCATCAAAGATCTGAGCACCCCGAGGTACTCATTCATTTGTTTCCGGCGATTGCGTTCAACAGTAATATGAGTTATTCTCTGGTTCTCTAGCTCTTCTTTGTTCTTGCTGCTCCTGGTGCGTCGACGTTTTCGTCTAGTACTGTTCGTCGTCGTCGTCGTTGTTGTTGCCGTGGCCGCTGCAGAAGGTTCCGTTGGACATTGGAATCCAGCTGCAGGGAGAGACTGATCAACAGTGCAAGCTTCAGGTGAAGAATATAGGTCCCATTCCTTTGCATGTTGGATGAACGAAGTAGATGAGGAGTCCCAATATGCATGGAGATGACTCCCTTGTTTTTGTTCTATGTTGTTGTCAAGAATTCCAATAAGAGCTTTATCTTCTTCTTGGAAGCAGAAAGAGTCATAGCCCCAAGTTCCTCCTCCTCCAGCTCCTCCCACAGGGTAGATGTCCTTGCAAGCATAAGAAAATGGGACTTGAGAGTAAACTACTGCCTCTAATGCCATGCTTATCAGAATTCGGATCCTTATTACACTCTTTTTTCTTTTGTCCTGTTGTTTCTCACACGTTTGTGTTGTTTATTCTCTCTTTTCTAAAGGGAAAGACAGATGTGGAGGTAAATTACATAAAAGCGAAGGGAGATGGGGTTGATAGGGCATAGACCTACTAGAGTAAAAGGGAGTCTCTTGAAGTTTAAAGGGAAGAACTGATGAAGCTGAGAGTTGAGAGATAACTGTTACCTACAAAGAAACCCAAATCAAAGCAAAAGAGAAAATGGAATAAGCACAAGCACTACACATCCAAAAGACCAAACAAACTCCCCCTTTTATCTTCCTCCCCCATGAATGAAAGTTGATCGACTTTTAAAGATGTTTAATCCTAAAAAAAAAAGGGACAAAAGCTACAGCATGCTGCACGTGTTGGAGACCAGTCGCTGGACCAGAGAGAGAGAGATTCGCTATGGCATTTGGGGAGAGAGAGAGATCAATATTGTTTCAGGATAGTCCTAAAAAACATAACAACATAGAAAAATTAAAGGGAAAATAATGGGTCCAAACTCCAAATTAAGGGGCGTATCTAATTTCGTGAAAAGGGTACCGTTTATTTTAATTGAAGGGACAGACATATCGCTGTTAACAATATTAGAACAATAATAAGAGAAAGGCTTTTTTTGTCTTTGGACTAATTTCTGATTTCCTTTAATTAACTTTCCTAAATTATCCAAGCAAAACAGGAATGCGTGACTATGGTTTTCATTTGGTAATAATGTGGTCGGATGCTGGGATGTTGAACTGAGAAAGATGACGAAAAGCTGATAATGAAACAGAGATTCGATCAAAGATCTATTAAGAAAGTTAAAGAAAGAAAAAGAAAAGAAGAGAAAAGCCTGAGAAACAACAAGGAAAAACAGCTTAGTTTTTTTCAGGTGTCTGGTAAATGTCCTGAGGAATCCATGTGACCATACAAAGAGCCACTCTTCTAATCATCTACTCCGAAGACTCTGTGTCTCTCCCCCACCTCTTTGTCCTTCCCAAGAAATCCTTTTTTAATATTATTATAAAAATTTTAAAATAAATAAATTATCCAATCACTTAAATTAAGATATAATATATCATATGTCATAATTTAAGATAAATAATTACAAATCATGTTTTAAAATAATATCAAAAAATAATCACTAATGAAATTTAAATCTAAAATCTCTTTATTAAGAAAAATAACTCTTAATCAATTGAACCAAATTACTTATTTATTTTTTAATTTTAGAGATGACATAATTGTTATATAAAAAAAAAGGATTTTGACTCAAAATCAGATTAATTTTCAAGAATTCTTTACTCTTTCTTATTTTTTTTATAGTACTACTACTTTATAATTTTATTTTTCCATAAATCTAATCATTACTTTTTAATTTTCTTTGTAACACAATCATGATATTTTTAAAGTCTGCTTGAATTTATTTTTCGTTAGGACGATTTTAAAACATATTTTTTTATATTGATTTGATATATTCACCGAGACATTACTTTTCATATAAAAGTCTAATCCTGATTAAAATAAAAATCTCCTTCGCTTTATGGGTCATCTTTAGAACTTTTAATTACAATTTGAATTTGAAGCTAGTTAATTACCTAACCCCATCAATTTCAATAAGACATTAATTCTCTTGGGGTTCCTCCCCCAATGCTTTGGCTTCTCCTTCCATGGAATATTGTTAACACCATAACAATATTCAATTCTTCTAATGTCAGAATTTAAGTTTTTTTTTTTTTTTTTTACACTTCTTTCAAGTATATATTCCCCATGAAATTTGTACTTAAAAAGATAGAAAAATATTAAATAAACAAACCAACCCAACTGGCATTGTTTTGAATGTATCACAAAAAACTGTTATTTATGAGATTCCTTGACCAATAGGGTAATTAAGAAAATACAAATTGGCTAATTGTTATTTCCTTACTATGCAATGATTTTATAGCTTTCGAGATCTCCCTTTGAATTCAATAAAACCAAGTTACCGAGGACTCTAACTTTGTTTTTGTTTTTATCTTCTTTTTTTTTTGTATGTTTTTAATATATCATTAAAAAGTGAAAAAAAAAAAAACAGAAAACAAAAGATAAATAAAAAATAAAAAAATAAAATACCAATAAAATAGAATCTTAATAATTGAATTACAAATTATTATTTAAAAAAGAAGGCATCGTTTCACGGTCAATCTTCTTACTTTAGGTGTCATTTTCTCTGTTTCTAGTGCAAATTTTCAAGTTGTAGAAATTGATAGTAATATGATTTAATAATTCGTTTAAAATAATTAATACGACAAAACCATAATTCATAGTGCATTCATCTTTTTTTTTTTTTTTTAAAGTATATCACCTCAAATTTAATACTATATGCTAAATTTTGTTTTTATGCGAGGAAACAACTATGATTGGAATAGATGAAGGAAAACGCGTTTATGTAAAATTAATAATTTATTTGTTACCTAAAAATAGGGTAGGAGCGTTGAATGCGTTAAGTCATCAACTCAATTTATAGGTACACATAAACTTTTCTTTGGATTTTTGGGCCAAAAAAAAACTTGACTTTGGATTATTTAAAAAAAGACAAAACAAATTATAAAAAATAGTATAAGAATTAATAATTATGATAAAGTTATATTCGCACATATACGTGAAAACTATTATACACTTTTATGTTAATAATATATACCCAATTTATAAATAAGAAATTTACATTCATTAAAAAAAAATTATTTGATAAATAAACATGAATTAAATTTTTTTTTATTTTTAATTTTACATTGACGTTAAAAGTACTAAAAACTTTATGTTAATTGACACATGATATATAATTTACGTGTAATATATTGAGCATTTGTGGGCATTGAAAAGAAAAAAAAATACAGTCTGAAATTAAAATAATTAATTTCAATGATCGAAATTTAATTATTAATAATTTTAAATATTAAAAAAGTTAAATAAATTAAATAAATTTATATATAGTAAAAATATTATAGTTAGTATTTAAAATTTTTATCGAAATGATCTTATCTCATCTTTACTACTTAAATTAAGTTTAGAAAACTTTTCAACAAAATAACGAATATACGAAACTTCACATATGATAACTTGAAATACAGTAATATCTTTATATAATAACTGCTAATAAAATGTATAAATGCATAGGTTTGTAGTCATATTCCGGTAGCATAAACATATAATTGAGAGGACTTTAATTGGGTTTGCAATAATATTTTATGCTGCAACTAGCTAGTCTTTGATTTGTTTGTTGATTTTGTTGATAGGATCTACCGAGCATTTTTTGTTTTTATAAGATCATTGGTTTGACTGGAGACTTGAGAGTCCCTGTGAGGAACAAATGTGAGGTGCAAATTTGATCGTACACCATCAAATCAACCAGAATATTATTATTATTATTTATTTCTGATTACATTTGCCTTACGCTACAAACAATGAAAAAACAAATGAAGATTAACGTGTTTCAAGATCCAAACTACAGAGTTTGTTACCCAATTCCCACGAACAAAAGTAGTACCAACACAACAATGACCCCAATGCCGTTAAATCTAAATTAATTGACAATTAATGAAAAATTCTAATTTAAATTTAATAAATAAAAAATAATATAATTTTAATATTCACTCATCAAGTGTGGTGTAATTATTATATAACAAATTTAAAAAAGATGTAAGGGAGAATTATATAATAAAATTTAGAGTATGATATTATGATAAGTATTTAATTTAAAATTAATTAATAATAAATAAAAAGTTTTTAATATAAAATCATAAAAGTTAAAATTTCGCCGATATGAAATAAATCCAATTTAACATACTCTAAAAATTAAGTAATCCTTTTTTAGCAGCGAAAGTAATCAAACCGTACGAAGATCCCCTTATTATAACTACAACTCATTACCTAAGAAAACACCAAAATTAGAATAGACTTAGCTTCTTTAATTAACTTTTTTTTTTTTTTTTTGTGTTTCGTCATATGCATGTGTTTCAAGCGCAAAGCTCGCTTCCAAAAATTCTAAACATGACGCATGTGAGCATTACATACTGAACCCAGCTTCCAACATTAATCCAACTGGATTAATTATAATATTTAACAAGTTAATCTTTGATCAGAATCTCAATTTATTTTAATTAAAATATTGTTATTAGAGAGGTGGATAGTACTGCGTTTTTTTCTTAAGTTCAAGGAACCACGGACCTAAAATTCTGGGAACCTGATTTTTGTCGATTTTGTTGCTACTGGCAATCCAGATTCTCCCATGCTGAGTTTTGCTCCTATGGCAACCAGCCTAAGGATTAGACCTGCTGTCACCAATTATTTTCGTCCGTGTTGTTGGGAGTACTTAGGCTTAGCCCCAGAGGCTCAGTCAGTCCTATTGTTCAACAACTTTTGTTCCTTTCTTTTTGGGCTTTTTGGGTTTGATATTGTAAAGGCCTCAGCTCAAGCATTGAACAATTTTAGCCCACTGTAGCTATAGGCAGAAGACGAAGAAGACGAAGAAGAAGAAGAAGAAGATACATTTCATCAGACTCGGTTCAAACTCCGAAAAATGAAGGTCCCTGCTGTGACTTTTGTCAAGATTCAAGATGACTTATTGTCCTTTGGAAAATATGCACCTTGATGCACCCAGGAACAAGGGAAAGTGCGCATCTCTAATAATTACAGACAGCTTAAAATTTTTAGAGAAAAAACTAAAACTTCGTATTTAAAGTCTGATTTAATGTTCCGTAACTGTACATTGATGCTTTATTATGAGGATTTGGGGTGAGAGTCTGTAAGTCAGGATACAAATGCGTATTTGACATGGGTATATTTAATATTTTTAATTTTTTTTCAATATTTAAAGATAATTACATTTTTATATTTATATTCATGACATACGTCTCAAATATATACACTTAAAAAAAAAAAAAGAATCGAAAACGTTAACCAATTATTAAAGACAGAACCAGGATATCAACCCTGGCTGCAAAGAGGCAAATAGAAGAAACAGATTTTGGAACCCTAAAAAGGTGGTTGTCGTTGTTGTAGTCTTGTAGAAACATGTGGTAGGGGCACATGCAATGAAACAATATACTCCCTCGGTCCTTTTTTTTATATTATTATTATTATTATTCATTTTTTATGAGATTTTTCAAAAATATATTTTTTATATTTTAATATTATTTTAATAATTTTTTTTACTTTTTAACATTAAAAATAATGGAACTTTAATTTTATAAAAAAAATTTAATTTTAATATAAATATATTAAAATCAAAAAATTTTTCTTAAACTTCATGAAAATCAATACAATCCAAAAAATTAAAAACGAAAAGAGTATTTTTTTTTAACAAATTTAGTAATTTTAAGATTTAAATTTTAATATTTATAATCTTTATTTTTATCTTTAAATTACAATTTTTTAAAAATATTAATCCTGTCCATGCATGAAAAAAGATTACAATTAAACTTAATTGATATATCAAATATAAGATAGAGCATAAAATCTAAATTTTCATTATTATTATTATTATTAATATATTATTTTGCTTGAAGATTTCTCCTGATGGGACGCATTCATCGTCGTCTAAAAGCTGGAATATTTTATGCACTTCATTCCAAAAACCCTTTCAACTTTAAATTGTGCGTTTGAGCAGAAAATTTTGTTGAAAATCCTCAAATTTAATTAATTCCCTTGTCATATCCTATCAAAATTATTAAATCGATAGCTCATTTTAATGATCTATTTATGCCCCCTACTTAATTTGTTATTTGCGAACAAGTTCTCAAGATTGATTAGGTATTCTTTGTTCGCTAGTGCTTTATTTAATTAAGATCATCCAATAATTAAAGAGTTCATTTTTATACATTAATCGTGATATTATATATATTTATATAATTTTTTTATAATACAAAGTTGCTAATATTCTAATTCATCTAGTTCCTTTCCATTTCTCAATAAAAAGTTTGTTCGTACAATAATGAAAAGAAAGAAAGAAAGGACAATTATTAATGCAAGTGGACGGTTTACATGCATTATTTAGATGCCATGTTAGAACCATACAAATAAATAGTTCGGCCCTGCTATTGAGACCGAACCTTTCGAAAGGAATTTGGGGTGCCCAAATGAAAATTTAAAAGAAACGAAAATTTTCCTGCCACACTTTGGTCTTAATTTGTTTGCAGTTGTCCTAGTTAACTAACCCACTAATTCCTTTAATTATGAGAATTGTTTTTGGGGCAATCGGATTTAGGTTTTGATGCTCCCCAACTTGAGAGTTTTAATTGTCTTTGCCACTAAACAAACAGAACTAAACATTACCGAAGAAACAATCAGCCACTCGGAAACTGAATAAATAAATAAATCTTGAGGGGAAAAAAGGAAAAAGCCAAAGAGGATTACGTGGAAATAGTGTTCAATTTTGTACTTAGAAAACAGAAAAAAAGATATAAATGAGGATGATGAAATCCTGATTCGTCTACAATGAACAAATTGGGTTAATGGGAGCCGTACACGTGGTTAAAAGCCCATCCACACAATTCTTGTCAGGGCGCAGGAAAACCACGGGCCCTACCAAAAACCATGGGCTTCCCCCTCAGTCCTTGTTAGTTTGGATTCTTTTGCATCAGAATTTAAGTTTTTCTTTTTGGACCAATTACATTGTACAGTATATTTGAATAGAATCTCATTGTGCAGCGGCCCATTCAATTTTAGTGTAATCGAGATTCATACGGGGATTAGTTCACTACTTTAATGTAAAAATAAAAATAAACGTTTTTTTTCTTTAATTACGATTGCCGATTGCTTTTAATAAAACAATGGATTGTCGCTTAATATCCAATTTCATTGTTATCATTACATTTTTATATATAAACGCATATCATCATTATTTATTTTAATTATAATTTTATCATTTTCAAAAAAAAATTTTATATAAGTTATATACTTTTATAAAAAAAAATCTACATTACTTCGGTATATTCATAACATACAATCTCCAATTTATAAATTTTAAATCTTATTCTACTTAGAACTTTTATATTATATAAAAATGAGTTTACATTTTAAAAATTTAGAGAAAAAGAGAGATATACAAGGAGTCTTTAATTTCTTAGTACTAAAAAAAAATTACTTATTCCTTTTATATTTCTACTTAATTTTTCTATGAATTTTTTTCTTATTATTTTTTGGATAATTTCCGGATATACTTATTCGTGTATGGATTCAAAATAGGGCGGGACATGTTGTAAGTGTCTCAACTTATTTTTTGGTCTTATTCAAAAGAGTTGATTCACTGAGTAACTGATTAATTTTGAAAAAAAACAAACATTAATAATATCATTAAATAAAAGAATATTCCATTAATTCTTTTGAGCCTTACCTAATTATTAATAGAAGTTTAATATCTAAATAGTTTATACACAAATTAATATTTTAATACACTATCAATATAATTTTTAATTCATTGCATCACTGTCATCTCTTCAGCCTCTGAAAGAGCCAGGACTAAGAAAAGGGACCACAATCAATGATGAAGAATAAGAGGCCTGAACCGTAGCCTAAATGAATGAGTCCAATTAGATAGATAAGCCCAATTTGGTGTTGCTTACGAGCTCAAATTTTTTCTGGGTTAACATCTTTTAGGCTGTTAGATTTGGGCTAAAAGGTGGGTTCAAATATTTTGGAAGATGAGTAAAGCAATTTTCACGACTGGAAATTTTATCAAAGACCAGACAAATATGAGATTACTCTGAAATTTAAATTTATTAAAAATTATATTTAAAAATAGTTATATGAATTAATGGAGTTAAATATATCAATTTTAACTCTGCCAAGTAACGGGAAGAGCTTGTTTACATTAACAGGATCCTTTCACACAATTATTATATCCCAAAAAGGGAAGAAAGAACCATTTGATCATTCAAGCCTGATCATCAGTGCGACTTAAAACAAGGAGATAAGGATGCCACGTTAAGCCTAAGGTTTTCATTTTCAAAGTTTCCACATTTTGTTTCTGTTTACTTAGGCATCCACGCCGAGCATGCTTCTGGCCCACGGAAACTCGCCATGGCGCAACATGAAATAGTCAACTAATGATGATATCCAAGTTAAGATGAGACAATCAGCTGGTAAGACTTTGTCAAATTATTGAGTGTTAAATTTGGTTGGATTCAGGAAAAAAAATAATAAATATATATGACAGTACTAACATTATCTACTGTTTCTTTTGTTGTCAGTAAGGACAAGATTAACTTTGAAAAATTTTCTTTACTGATTTTTTTTATTAGTCACTCGTCTTAATCATATACACTCTCCTTGGACATGCAAAAAATAGCAGTTCTTTTAATGATGCAAAAGGCTATACTATTTATATAACACACAATATTTTTTTTAATAAATTTAAATTTAAATTTAATTAATTTATGTATTTATCATTAAAACATAGTATATAATAAATTTAAGATTAAATTTAAACACTTGTAATTTTTTATTATATCTTAGATTTTGACCATTCTTGTTATTTATTTTTTCATTTAAAAGATAAGTCAATATATATTGAAGGACATAGTGCCTGAAGGGAATTCAATAGTTTAAACTATAAAATCCAAATTTCAATCAGCATGAGAGAAATTTAGAAAAAAAAATCAATATATTATCTTCTTGTATAATCCAAAGTTTGATGGACTTCTATATCTATTTTGAGAGAAAAAAAAAAAAAACAGTTAAAGAACATCTAAAATTTTATGCTTTACAAACTGTTCCAAAACCTGTTTTAATAATATTTAGGGTTACCAGTCAATTCAAAAAATTAATTAGCATTGCTAATTAAAAATCATTAATGGACGAATTAGTCAGTCAACCAATTTCATCGTTTAATTATTATTGCAAAGTATAATAAATAGCTAGCTGAATATATATATATATATATATATATTCCCCTAATGGTCTTTTTCATTTTGTCTTGATGTAGATTGGATATGCGCATTATTGCTCTAAGATTATCACGTTATGGTGTGAGAGAAAATAATTAATAATTGTTTAGTACATAATCTAAAAAAATCAAATGCGTTTTTGATCATTGGCTAGATGATAAGTGTACGTATTCTTTGGTTAAAGTGATTTTGATTTTTTATTTCAAAATTAAAAAAAATAAAAAAAATAACACTTATATCCATTAGAGGAACTAGTAAGAACTTAGTAAACTATCCATTAATGGAATAGCTATTCGTGATTTGCCATCAATTCTGTGATGAAAGAAAGTTCCTAAATCAATAAATAATTGTTAGTAAACGCCTAGGAAGTATATTAAACCTTGCGTATTTGAAATAATCCGAGTTTGAAGATATATATAATATATAAAAGACATTTGTATTTGTTTGTAACAATGCTGCATGACATTTGCAATTGAATTGAGAAAAAATAACAATCAATTGGCTTTTTTTTTTTTTTGTGGGTGAGAAATTGCTTTTGGCTTTTAGTTCTTACTTGGTAATTCCTTAAGTCTCTTTTCAAACAAGTCCCCTTTATAGGTGAAATCGCACCACAGAAGATTGAAATTCTTGATACAATCGCAAAAACCTTTAACTTAGCACAATTAGACAAATTTAGCAAATTTCCTCGTTCCTAACCAAAACATTCATCAATCAACCGGCACCCTTTTTGTGATTACGTGTCATTCACTTATTGGCTCACATTTTCACCGGCTCTATTCATCTCCGCAGAGATTTTGTTCCCTGCGGTCCTCTTTTTCCTTCTTTAAAGTCAAAACCCAAAACCCTCCATCAAACAATGCATCTCTTTTGGTTTTGTCTTAAGGCCGACGAATCCTTCAAATTTCCACCCCACGCGCACTATATGGCGCGTGGACGCGTGGAAAACATCTTTCTTCTCCGTTTTATATCCATCTCAAAACTTAAGATACCGTACTTTTTCTCCCTTTTTCCCCTCCTTTTCCTGTATTAGGGCGAACCTTATTTATTTATTTTATTTAATTTTCCCTTGTTATTTTGTGGCTTTATGCTTTGCTTTGCTTTGCTTTTGAGCAACAAGAATATCATTAAAACACAGCTAAAATCTCACTACTGTTTCATGCAGCAAAAACAACGCTCCACCTGCTGCTGTCTTCTTCAATTCGACACCTGATGAATCAAAAAGATCGTAGCTGCTCATTCCTTCGATTTTTCAGGCAGAACCATGGACTTCCATGCGTGGCAAAGGGAAAGGCATACTTACTTCTTTTCTTTCTCTGTTTCGTCGTCTCGTTGTCAACCGCGCAAACCCAAACGATCCCAGCTCCGCCGCCACCATCCAATTTCAACGAGTCGAGTGGACCCAGTTTCAACCCTTTAATGGCGGTTGTAATGGTGGTTTTGGTGGCGGCGTTTTTTTTCATGGGATTTTTTTCCGTTTACATCAGACAATGCGCAGATAGAAGGAGGCGTGGCGGGATCCGGGATGCCTCCATTAATGTCGGGAGGCGGTCGATGAGATTGACCCGTGGGCTTGACGGGTCGGTGATCGAGTCTTTCCCGACGTTTCTTTACTCGACGGTCAAAGGACTCAAGATCGGAAAAGGCACGCTCGAGTGCGCCGTTTGCTTAAACGAGTTTGAAGACGACGAAACACTGCGTCTGATTCCTAAATGTAACCACGTGTTTCATCCTGATTGCATCGACACTTGGCTCTCTTCTCATTCCACGTGTCCCGTTTGCCGCGCAAATTTGGCTCCAAAGCCCGGTGAGAACATCTCCTGCGCCACTGTCCAAGTAAACGATTCGAACTCTGAGCCCGAAAACCGACCCGACAACAATTCTGACGATGAAACGAGCGTTATTGAGGTTGTTAATCAGACGAGAGACATAGAATCGCGGGGTGTGAATTTAATAAATTCAAACACGGCGATTTATCAGAATAGGCAGCCTAGATCACGATCGACGGGGTGGAGGTTGACCCGGTTCTTTCCGCGCTCTCACTCGACGGGTCACTCGCTGGTACAGCCAGGTGAGAATTGCGAACGGTTTACACTAAGGTTGCCGGATGATGTAAGGAGCCAGTTGATTAAGTCAAGCTTGAGCCGTTCGAAGAGCTGCGTGGCGTTCCCAAGAGCGACGAGTTTGAGGAGGGGTTACAGGAGTAGGAGTTTAGGGAGGAATAATTTTAACTACGAGAGGTTCGACCGGTCGGATCGGTGGGGGTTCACTATGATTCCTCCATTTTTTTCTAGGACCGGATCGGTTAGATCACCAAAACCGGTGATTGGTGGTGGTGATGAGGAATTGGGTACTCCGCCGAAGGGTTCGTTTATTGGAGGGGAGGATAATGTAGGAGAACAATCATCGGAGAGGCTCCGCCCTGAATGCCAAGTTTAGTAATTTGTGGTTCACTGTTTTTTTTTTTTTAAGTGGTTTTGAGGTTTGACCAACTGAATTTACCTGTACATTGGTTTTATTTTTATTTTTGTTCATTTGTTTTATTTATTTTGATTTTTCTTACGTATAGCTTGAAGGTTAAAAAAAAAAGGGTTTATGAATGGCTACTTTATCATACGAAAAATACCAAATACCTATACTTGGACGGCAAATGGTTAAAGAAATTTCCAAAATTTATGTATATAAATATTTTTTTTTGTTGCATCTGAACATTTAGCTAAAGTTGATGTATGATTTTCTTGTTCAAAAGAGAATCCTTTCAATTTCAACTCAAAAAAAAAAAAAAAAACCTCTATCGTTGCTAGACTTGTTGCAGCGTGATTTTGTGCTGATTTTTTATACCAATATGTTTAATACTTCCTCTATTTTATTTTTTATTTTTATTTTGAAATGTCTCAAAATTATAATTTTTTTGAATATTTAAAATTCTTATTTTTTATATTTTAAAATTTTTTTTTTTTTTGATATTAAAAATCATGAAATTTTAATTTTATAAAAAATTTTAAAATTTAATATTAAATACATCAATTTAAAAAAAATTTAAAAAAATTTCATAAAAATTAATATACGACAACATCTTGAGACGGAGGAAATAATAACACAACTCAACAAATTCAGCTTGTTTTCTGTAAGCACCAAAAAGGTTTAAAAGGATTTGAAAAAGTGATTTATTTATTTGAAATATGTAGATTAAATGATTTGATAAAGGTGAAAGTTTATACACCGAAAGTGGATAGGGAATTTGGGGACAAAATCACTTTCTAGTTTTTGCTTATAATTTTAAAGCATATAAGTAAAATGGGGTGAAAGATGTGCATGATTAATGTTTACTTTTATGTTGGCAGGTAGAATGTCATATTTTTAATTTTACTAATTAAAGTTTAATATTTGATAATTTCAAAGATTAAATATTTTTTTTATAGTTACTTGATTTGATGGGCAATACATAAGTAAAAAATAATTGAGATTTTTCTTTTTATAAAAACATGCCACTTATTAAATCATTAAAATAAGTTGAACATATGTGAAATCTTATATAAAATAATTGAGAGTTGAGAATGACATTTTCCAAAACTTATTTTTGGACTTTCCATGTTAGGCTTATAATAAAAGATAATATTATTAGTGTTTTGTAATTTAATTCTTAAGAAAAGAACTTATTAAATTAGATCTATGATTTAGGGTTTTTACAACATTATTTTTTCTATTTTATTAATGCACCATATTCCTAACCCTTTTCATTAATAAATAGATAGAGTAAAAAAAAAAAATATTTTGTATGGAGTAAAGATTTGTTGAAACTTGAAACTCCAAAGCTCCCGGTACATGTTTGAGCCTGAGTCCAACTAATTTGATGGGATCTGTTCTAAATATATGGGCTACTCCTTGTAACCTAAATGGGCTTTTATATAGAAAGTTTTTTGGTTGTTGGGCAACAAGAGATTTTTGGATATTAGCCGATTTTTTTTTTTTTCATTTGATTCTAGCAAGTTTAGCATGTAAATTATTTAAAATCTCTGTGTAGAATGAAAATTGAGTTTTGGCCATGGCCATTTGTTGGAATTATCTGAAATGCATTATTTCTAATAACTTGTGTTAGATTGTGGTGTACAACACATCTTATTTTAATTTGAAAATTGAATAATCTATCTTCTTTGAATTTTTTTTACTTAAAAAAAAAAAGAAAATCGAGGAAGGCAATCATGAAGGGACCTTAGCCAAAGCTCAACCATGGATAATTTATCACATTCTCCAACTATATTAGCTCATAAAAAGAAAACATGCCTTGTTTTCGTTAGAGTAAAAAACATGATTAATCTATACATTATAGACAAACCTATAACAAGAATTGTCCAATTTAACTGCATTCATTCAAAGTTATGATCATAAAATATGACTTATTATTCAGCTACATGCATGCCCAGATCAATTTCACAAATGTTAAGATAAATTTTGATGGAGCTCTATAGGGGTCCAAGACGCATTAGGTGGAGTTGGTATTGTGATCAGAGCTGAGGATGGTGTTGTTCTGGGAGCTTTGTCCAATGTGGTTGAATTTGCTAGGGGCAAGGGCTTTGATTACATTTTCCTTGAAGGGGATGCTTTGGGGATTATTAATCATCTGAAGGTGGCAGCAGCTCAAGATCTTTCAGTGATAGGCAATCTCATGGTGGATATTAAGAGGATAATAATGGAGGGCTTTTCAGGCTGAAGCATGCTAGCACATATTAGGACTGCAAAGGAGGCTGCTCAAAGGTTGGCAAAGGAGTTATGAAGTGGTCGAGAAGAATTAACTTGGATTGAGGAATGCATCAAGGATGGAATTGCTACTTATTTGTCCTATTTCTTAACCAATGAAAGTTTGTTTTATTTCAGAAAAAAGAGTATGAAATACTCTGATTGTCCTATTTCTTAAATCTAATAATCTAATTTATGATATGACACAAAAATAATACGAAATAAAATATATAAAAATAACATGATTTAAAATTTTAACAAAATTTATAAATAATTTTAACAAAATTAAAATAAAAAATTATATTTTTATATCAACATTAATTATGATATATAATTTTTATATAAAATATAATACAAATACAATTTTTTTATATGACATGAATAAATAAATTGTCAAATCTACTATTTCTTAATCAATGAAAATTTGTTTTATTTAAAAAAAAAAAGATTAATTTGAGTCGTAAATGCTCCTTCTTGTACAAAAAACAAATAATCAAATTTAATATTATATTACACTAGAGCTTGTCCGACGCTTTATGACGGAAGTTTTTCTTATTTAAGAATACTTATTTTTTATTCTAATATATGTAAATTGAGTGATAAAAGTATATTTTATAAATAAATATGTATTTTAATAATTTATTAGATATTAATTTAATCTTTATTTTTTAATAATAATTTTTTATTCATTTAATAAGAAAAAATTTCAGGTGTATTGCATGGTAATGTATGTAGAGTTGTTGAAAGTATTCCCACTAACCAAATTTTGGGGGTATATAGGAGTGCAAGGTTGCCAACATGGCCAATCGCAGTTTTGGTGCATGAAATATTCAATTCAGAATATAGCTTTTTGAACACGAAGCGGAATTGACACAAACTTGTAGGAAGCAACAATTAGTGGAGTCTTGTTGGGGACAAATGTAAGGGACAAACTAACATGGGAATGAGACAATAGAGAGATGGTCCCTGTCGAGAAGCCTGTGAATTTACTGGACTGTCAGAATTTAACACCGGGCAAACAAAGGATTGGCCTTTGAAAGTGGAAAAAGCTTTTGTAATAGGTGTAAAGGACTAGCCATTTAGCAGTAACTTGCTACTTCTCTTGGAAGATTTGGTGCTGTGTGTTAAAGTTGGTGGAGGATTGACATGGATGTTGAGTTGTTCTGTGGCTGATTTGATACGTCGAGGTGAGAAAGACGGCTCCGTCTTGTGGAATAGTGAAGAAAGATGGCAAGTAGTGAGTGGCTAAATCTTACGGGCTTTATGGCTATCTAGGAATGAATCGGTCATTGAATGGTAGGAATGAGATGGTGAGGAGATATTTTTTCTAATTAAATTGAGATCGCTATTTTGGGTGGAAGAAATTGCTATTGTAAAGTCTTTGATAAGCGATGCTGAGTGGTGGTACTCTTTTGGCTCGTCGAGATTCAACATTAGTGGTCATAACTCGAGAGTTGAAATTGATAACTTCACGAGAGTAACAGGAATGATGGAGTTTGTTCATGTTTAGAATTGAATTTTTTTTTTCAGTCATTTAGCGAAAATGGGAATAAAAAGTTCTTTTCTTTTCCTTGCTTGGTTGTATATGTATTGTTAGTTGGATCTCTTGACCGGCCCTCTTTAGACTTTGTATTAAGAGATGAGCAAACATGTTCTTTGTATCTATTAATAAAATATATTTTGGTTGATGAAAAATAATTAAAATTAATCACAAACTCAATTTAACATTTCGTTCTTTTTTTTTTCTTTTAAAAATTAAAATATGCATAAATCTAAATATTTGCAAAATTTTATTTATTAATTAAATCATAAAAAAATTATAATAAATTCATAAGTTAAATATTTTAAATAAAAAAATCAATTCATAATTAGCTTAAAACTTGCTTTTAAAAATTGTAAGACGAAATGAAAAAAATTTGCGTAAAATCAACTCCTTTTGTCTCACACTTTTGTAATTTAATATTTTTAAATATTTTATTATTTCTTCTTTATTCTTTCTGTTATAATATATCGATTTGAGAATTTGATCGCTAGACGTAATATATTAAGAGCTGTCATTAATATTTTTTTGTTGAGGTATAATTGGTCACCAAGTTAAAATTATTATTTTTAAAGAAATTTTAAATTCAGTTAAGATTTCCTAAAAAAAATAATTTTGGGTCTACATTGAAGAGTTAAGTTCGAAAATACGATTATATGTGAGAAAAGATTAGTACTCCAATAATGTCAATTCGAAAATAATACCAAATAATTTTGTGTTGCACTAAATTGATCTTTAATCAAATTGTCTTTTGTTTTTTTTATTTAATTTAATTATTTAAATATCTAAAAATTCTGTAAGACTTTTCAATTATTGTGGTAAAATCTTAAAAAATTTTTGTCACCTCAAAAGTATTAAAGAAACTCGTTCATTTCATTGAAAAGGTTCATTCATCGGATTGATAAAAGCTTTTTAAACTTTTTTTAATTATTTTAAATTTTTTATCATTCTAGTAAAATTTAAAAATATTTTATTTTTTAAAAATTTCTTCGTATGATTACTAGTTTGTAATCTTTAGAATTTCATGAAGATTATTTATTATTGTAAAAAATAGTTTAAATCATAAATTATTCATCATTCAGGAATAATTTAGATTAAAATATTTTTATTTTATTTTTTAAAAAATTACTCGTTTATAATTTTTTTTAGAATCCTATGATTGTTCTTATTTATTTTGATTTATTGAAAATTTTATAACATTTATCATTATTATTAGTTTTTACACGTAGGAATAAATATAAATCATCGGTGTAAAATTTTTTTAACATTTTGATAAAATTTGAATAAATTTTCACACATAAAAATCTCTTACAAAAATCACGCTTTTGTGATTTTTTATAATTCCATGATTTAGGTGATTTTCCTTATTCTTGAGTTTTAATCGATAGATATTTAGGGAGCATTTTAAATCAAAAAAAGATGTTGAATTTATGTTGTTATATTATAATTTAATGGTTAGTTTATTTGTTTGATTATTTTATAATTTAATATTTGATTATAATTATAATTTATATTTATAATTTAAAAAATATTGAATATTATGAATAATTTCTTATTTCAATATTAATATCAAAATAATTTCTTTTTTCAATGATAATTTTTTTTGTTCAAAATTTTTTATAAAAAATATAATTTAAAGATAAAAAATATAATAAATGTTGAAATGTGAATTTTTAATTAGTTGAACATTAATTTTTAAAAGTAATTATATAAATTATGAATTAGTTTAATTAAATTTTAAATTTTTTTCGTTATTTTTAACTATATAGACGTGTATACGTTTGAGTTCTTTTTAATAATTTTGATTAAGTTCATATTAAGGCAAGGTTATCATATAGGTGTGACCACATAATTCATGAAAATTTCTTCGCAATAAAACATGTCTCGTGATACACGTTGTTTTTTATTGGAATAAATAACAAACGTTTTGAGTGGTCGACTGGTGGTCACTGGACACTGGTCAGTGGTTGGTGCTTTTTGTTTGTTCCTCTTTTTTCGCCGTACCCCCTTAACTGCCATAGGAGAAATTGACCAATGGTAATAGACTATCTTGTACTATTCTTATCTTCGTCAGGGGCTGAAGAAAATAATTGCACTTAATGTTGGAAAATGAAAATGACGTGTAAATATGCAATGATTTGCATGCATAAAACGTTGCAATACATAATTTTCATATAAAACTTATAATATTCCATCTTAGATATTACTTATATAAAACGTTAATAATTTTTTTTTATCTGAAACAAAAATTGTTTAAGCTTAAATTTCATTTGTTAAATGTTTTTTTTTTCTTATTTATCTTTAATTTTTTTTTATTCATTTTCTTTTGTTAAAAAGGTGAAAAGTAAAAATATTTATCAAGCCAAACCTTATCTAAACACGAAATACTAACATTTATGCTTAGGATAATTATTTGTAAAATTAATTTTTTTAATATTTTATCATAATTAAAAAATTCATAATATTAACTTTTTTTAGGATCCATCTGAATTTCATTGCATTTTGGATATCTTTGAATTTTGATTGATCAAATTATATGTATTTATCTTGATTTGTAAAGTGATTTGATAAATTTTTAATTAATTAATTTAATAATATTTAAAAATTTTAATTAATCACTAAAATAATTTAAAAAAATCAAAATTAAGACATATCTCACGTTATAATTATTTGAAAATTTTCTAGTTCTACATTCTTACTCTCTAGCAAACCAAAAGTTAAAGAGTTGGATTATTTAAGAGTCGGCAAAAATTCAAAGAAAAAGGGGAAGAGATAGAGATGTAGTAACTCCATGACATTTGAGTTGATAGATGATCTTAAAACAAAGAAACTGTCGAAAAAGTATATATGTATATCATCCATATTACTAACTTACTAGAATTGCTTTAACATGAACATTAAATACTTAAGGATCACTTTTCTTTTCTTTTTTGGGTTCTAAAGAATTCAATGTGACTAATCCAATTAATTCAGTTAAAATCTTGGCTATGTATTTGTACGGAAAACCGTAACCCCCACGAGGTACTCCTTGTTAGTGACGAGCTGTTTTGACATGAACAAAAATTTGAAATCAAAAGGTAAGAGGTTAGTTAATAGCAAAAGTGAGAGTTTTTTTTATATTTGTATTTCAACACTTAAATTAAGGTTCAATTTTTTATATTTATGAGATGAAAATATCGGATTTAGGTGATCCAAGCTTTAAGTGGTAAGATTAAGATTAATGTTGATGGTTCGATCTGATATAATAATCTATAACTTAATTAAGAGGTGATATATTAATATTTTCATATATTTTTATATGACGAGTTAAAATGATCGAATTGTCATATCAAATCAAATTATCAAAGACCCACATCAGCTCGATGAAAAAAATAAAATTATCCTCGTTTGATCGAAAACTCACACTTTGAGACGAAATATCTATTTTGCTGTTTGAATCATGAAATGCCCCTCACACTACTCTATGTACGTATCAATCACATGTATAGTTACCAGTCTTCTTTCCCATTCCTCCTCTATATAAGAAAGGCGAATGGAGCGAATAAGAAACTCAAAACGCATAAGCTTCTCAGGCTTCTATATTAACTTAGACTCTCAAAGATGTTTTTTGTGAAAGAACTGGTTGAATCAGGTTGCCTCACTTCTGTTCCTTCCAAGTATATCTTAAAAAATACTGACTCTGATGATCATTGCATATTGGTCAAAGAACCAGAACCAATCCCCACCATAGACTTCTCCCTTCTCACATCTCCTGATCCTCATCAACGGTCCAAAATCGTTACTGAACTCGGTAATGCATGTCTGGAATGGGGATTCTTCATGGTAATTCCTTTCTATTATTGTCGAGTAAAGGTCTTAGTCTATATGGGGTATCTAATTACTAATTTGCAGGTAATAAATCATGAAGTGCCAAAGACATTGAGAGATGAAATGATAAGGGAAACTGAAAGTTTCTTTGATTTAAGAGGGGAGGAAAAGCGACAGTACACTGGAAAGAAGCTGTTTGATCCGATAAGGTGTGGAACCAGCTTCAACCCTATGGTGGATAAGGCACTGCTTTGGAGGGATTACCTCAAGGTTCACGTTCATCCCCATTTCAATGCTCCTAACAAGCCTTCAGGCTTCAGGTACAGTACAGACTCACAAGTCTGGAGCATGCTTAATTAATAATTACTTTCCATTCTCCAATCATAAATGGATCATGGATGACCATAACTCTTTAAATAAGTACTGGTGATAAACCTTTTTTTTTTATAATTATTGAAAAATTATAGAATTATTATTTATATTTTGGTATTTGAGGCTTTTAAAGTTTAAATTCTCGTTATTAAAATTAAGAATTCAGAAATTTACCAACATCAAATCAATAGACTGTTGGCAAGCGTTATTTAGTAAATTTTAACTGGCATCCACCAGCCTTCGTTTGTGAAACCCATCATACTAGTTCACAATTAGATTCTGAATTTCCGAGGACTGTCGGCCATACTCCCCATGAATTGTACGTCTCTTATTGGCTTATTGAACATCCTACAATATTCACTAGTTCGTACTAGCACTACCAGAGGTTGAACCCGTGAGGTTACTATTTTCGGTTCAACCAGTTTAATCGGCAGGTTCAAAGAGTTTGAAATACTAATAAACCGTGTAACTTTTAAACGGATAGATACTTTGTGTTGTAACTCTTAATAAACGGGATGATTTTGCTTGGTTGTAATTAACAGCAAGATTCTACAAGAATACTGCAAAAAAACTCGAGAAATGGCCAGTGAGCTTCTTAAAGGTATATCTGAAAGCCTAGGACTGGAACAAAGCTACATAAATGAGAAGATGGCAGTAGAATCTTCGTACTCCCATCAGCTGTTTGTCGCAAATATGTACCCGCCTTGTCCACAGCCAGAGCTTTCAATGGGTCTACCCCCACACTCGGATCATGGACTCCTCACCATCCTTATGCAAAATGAGCTTGTTGGCCTTCAAGTAATGCACAATGGCAAATGGATTCCTATCAATCCCCTTCCCAACTCTTTTCTTGTCAACACCGGAGATCATATGGAGGTATATACATACATACATGCATGCATACATACATATATACATATATATATATATATATATATGCTTCCCTACGTAAATACTGCTGCCAGAGAAACTTCTGAGTTTTTTTTTTTTTTTAATCTTTCTGACATAGTTAAGTTGGGGAAAGGAAAATTCAAACAAACTATATATACTATATTTTATTTTGACGATGTGAACAGTTTCTAGAAATGCTAAAGGTGTATATATATTTTTCTAATTTTGTTAAAAATATTTGGAAAAAGTTACTAGAACAAGGACAAATTATAATTGTAAATATTCCATATATAAAATCAACGTTTAAACAGACAAATCAACCCATTAAAAAATATATATTTGAATAAATCAAACATAAAATTGATAAAATTTACACGTAATGAAGCTTGAGTCTGGGATTTCAAATATCACATTCTTACCGCTATAATAATAATAATAAGGCTTCATAGGCTAATTTTGGGGAACTTTTGTATTGAGAGGTTGTTTTATAGTTATCTAGGTGTTGTTTAATAATGGAGTATTTGGATGTCAATTTCAGATACTGACCAACGGGAAGTATAAAAGTGTGGTGCATAGAGCTGTGGTGAATAATAAAGCAACAAGGATATCCATAGGGACAGCACATGGACCACCACTGGACACAGTCGTAAGCCCCGCACCAGAGCTGGTGGCGGATCACGTTGGTCAAGCATATCTCGGAATCAAATACAGGGAGTACTTGGAGCTTCAACAAAGTAAAACTCTCAATGGAAAATCGTGCTTGGATCACCTCCGTCTTTCAATATGATCTCATCCTATAGTAGCTATGGCCTATTGATCGTTTCCTCAATTTCAAGTACCTTATTTCTATTCATAAAAAAATAAAAGTTAAGACCATATTGCTCAAGTAAAATCATGATAATTGTTCCCAAATAGTTCCGATAAATAAAATTACAAGAATTATATATGATGGAAAGAAATTACAATAGGTAATTGTTCTAACACAAGAAGTACGGATGGATGATTGAAACAATGCGTCTAAAACTGAAATTTCTGACTCAATTGTGCGGCGGCGAACAAGATAGGAGAATCATGGCATGGATGCTACCATCTTTTTTCCCAACATGATATCGATACATATAATCCAAAGTAGTAGGCAAAGGAGGAAAAATAAAACGCAAGCAGCTATTTTTTTCTAACAATTTTCTCCACAATTACGTCATTAAACTATTGACTTACCCCTAATTGCTATACTAATAACTATAAACACAGGTTTTAATGGAATTTTCCTCATATTTTCGTTTTTTTTTTTTTCAAAGTGTTGATTAGAGACTTTATGTATTATATGAATGTCAATTCCTTGGAACACGGTGACACCGCTCCATCCAGTGACTTTCCTTTTAGCGAAATTTGACAAATAATTTGCTGCCAAATGCCAAATAGTTTAGTAGCAAAGCGTAGGACGTTGACGAAATAAACGCCTGTACGTGTAAATTTTTTCATTTGATTAATCATACTTTGGGTTTTACCGTGTCTATTTGAAGTATTTATAGTTTGAAATGAATTAACGTCCTTTTTGTGAAACCAACTGTTTTTCTTCTTCCACTCTAGATTTTTAGTGCTTTGCCATTTATCATTTTTCTGATTTCCATGGGGTATCGTAAAAAGCTAAGAATCCTGCTAGGAATTCTGAAAGATAAGGCGTCGCTAATCAAAACGACCTTATCAACAAAGCGCCGCAAATCATCTGTTCGTCGCGTGATTCTACGCGCCACCACCCATGACTCCTCCGCAGCACCTTCAGATCATCGGATCACCGCCGTTCTTGCCCTTGGTCATGAATCACGCGCCACTGCATGTGCTTGTATCCAAGCTCTCATGGACCGACTAAATCGCACGAGTAATGCTTCGGTTGCCCTGAAATGTCTGTACACAACCCATAATATTATTGGGAAAGGGTCTTTTATCTTGAAAGATCAGCTCTCAACTTATCCTTATTTTGGGGGGTCGAAATTTTCTTAATTTATCGATGTTTCGAGATGATTCGGATTCGGAAACATGGGAAATGTCAACATGGGTTCGATGGTACACAGAAATCTTGGAACAAAATTTGATGGTTTCCAAGGTTTTAGGTTATCACCTTCATTCTTCACGTGCCAAGAATGATCGCAGTAACAAAAAAGACGAGATTTTAAGTTTCTTGAACTCAGATTTACTTAAAGAGATTGATGTTCTTGTTGATTTCGCTGATCAAGTAGGTAACGCACCCGAATCACTTTATCTTCAACGGAAGAGTTTGGTGTACGAGGTTGTAAGATCGGTTAGCGATGATTATAGATTAGTCCAACGTGAAATCTCTCGCCGAGTTTCGGAACTCGGAGTGAGAATGATGAGTTTGAGTTTCAGTGAATGCACTCAGTTTCTAAACTCTTTAAACAGGTTCGAGGATTGCAAGGAGAGAATATCTCGGCTGTTGGTGAATAGAAATAGAAATGATGATTTGTGGGATTTGATTAAGGAGACCAAGGCAAAGGTTGTGGTAATGACGAAAGAGAAGACAGAGGGGAAAGTGTTACTGATTACAAATGGAGACGAGTAGAGCAAGTTGACTGGGTTTAGCCAGTTGTTTGGGTTGGCATCTCGTGGGAGGTGACCGGTGGGATTTTGACCGAGACCTTTCCCCGGTTTCCCACCATTGGATTCCTTGTGTTGTTTGCTTTAATAATTAAAAAATTTATGTCAGGTATTATTGTATTTCAAAATCAGGTATGCCGCGTGTCCTTGTGAATTTTGCATTGAACTTACATATCTATCTAACATATAATACTGCGCAAGGGTGAACACTATACTGATCACGCGTCGGCTCCTGAAGCCTTTTGTTTTTTCTACTCCCCTCAAAGTTTTTTACTTTTTTATTATATATTTATTATAAAAAATTTTAAACAGTAGGGCCCACAGCTTTTGCGTGTGACCAACTGTTCTAATAGCTCATTAAATAAGATTATTGCTAACGAATTTGGATTTTACAAAGGTAATATAAATATTTGATGTTTATCAATTCCACTGGATAATGATTATTAAGCATCTAATTATGTTTTAGCTTCAACCATAAACGTTACCTGCTTTAAATGGTGTATCTAATCATTTCTTAACAGTTTCAAATTGATTAATCATTTTTTGTAAATATTTTGCATATTTGGGTGCCTTCCGTTCTTGAATATATCATTGTTTTTCTTTGCAGTCCTAAGGCCTATATTAATTTGAGCCAATAAATTGTTACTGTCGAGCTTCAAAGATAAAATTTTAAAATTATAAAAAAAAAGTAATTAAAGGTACAAATAAAAAATATTCTTTATATTTATATTTTAATGTTTAAATTAAAAATCAATATGAAAGAGAAGAAAAAAATAAATAAAAATGAATAATGTGGAATAGAAAAATTATACCTAAATATTTATATTTACATATGAAAGATAAAAAATTTATAAGTTATAATCACTATTGAATTGATGTGATATTAAATATATGAAATTAATTTAAAAATTTAAAATACTCATTATTATTTTGCTAACAATCTTTAATAAAAAAATAATCAAAATACCCTTTTATGCTAAAAAATATCCCTAACATCTATCAAGTGAAATTCTAATTAGAAACAACGGTACTGAATAATAGAAGCAAAAAGGACAACCGTCGAAGTCCAGGACGATTAGTGCGATTTTCACTACATTGATATTATGGGTCCAGTATCGTTTCAAGAGCATTATGTGGGTCATTGCCGCACTGATCGACTTCCCAAACAGGCATCCAGAATGGAAAATCACCAGGCATGGTGCTGCTATCTTCTTATCAGAACCAATTTGACATTGCATTAGCAATCAAATTTGGTGATAAATATCAAAGGCGCAGTTTCAATCCTAATATACAAATTAGGATAGACAAGATTTCAAGTTTTCAGAAATATTAGTAATTTACTGTTGAGTGTCACGGTAGTTTGGAAGGATATTTCATTTTCGGGCTGCTTTATTTGAATGAAGTTTGGATTATTTAATGTGTTTTTCCCGTTATTGTTCTCAATCATGTTCAGAAAAAAGCATCACAGTGACGTTCTTTTTGGTGGCTGACAGATTTTATCCCATTTATTTTTCTTTTTTCTGATTAAAATGATATAGACCCATTATATTTCAATCAATCAAAACTAAAATGAAGACAACAGCGACCAAGGAATCATTTGAATCAACAGAGCCACAACCAATTAACTCATTGTCTCCTGGCTCATTCATTTCATTCTCATTACTATCATCATCTCAGTCATTCTCACTCAATAGTCACTCATCATCATCATCATCATCATCATCATCATCATCCTCATCCGAAAACCTTACACCCTCATTGTAATTAGCGTCATCTACACTTGGACTTTTTTTTCCCTTCATTTTATCTTCGGCCTTACTTTCACCAGATGACTTTCTACTTCTCTTGCTCACATTTATCAACAGAAAATGCATTCTTCAGACCATCACCTTTCCCTTGACCATCATCACCAACCCTTTCACCCTCATTATCAAGAGCACAGCCACCATCAAGTCCACCCCACTATTGGGAACTAATTCAACCACATTATTGTCTTCCGAATTGGGTGATGATCTGCAAATATAGGTATAACTTTTAATTCCTCATATGACCTAAAGATTCTAATAATGTCATCATCATTCATTTAATAATCAATGAAATAGATATCGAATTTAGTTCAGAACAGATAATACTCAGAAGGCCAAGGTATGAGAAAGTGTCTGGTTCAACAGTGTCATCCGGATGGTGTATACTACTTCTTTGAAATTCAATACAAGCTTGTGTAACACCATTTCTACTTTAACAAAAAGAAATTAGGAGGATTTAGTACTATTATATTTCATGTAAATAAGAAACATGATCACATAAAAAATTTTGAAGAACTATGGCATATTCACTTCTTCCATCAATTTTGTATCTGCTAAACTAAAACCCCCAACAGCTAAGCATGCAAAAATCTAAACATATAATGAGATAAAAACAAGTAGAAATATCAACTAAATGTTGGGTTTGAATATAACTTATTGTTGAATTGCACTCACGTCAAGAAATAGCTCAACTCCTACACATCTTGATGTTGATAAACGATACCACAAATTTTCTTTCATCTCACGGTTTATTAAACTGCGTTACTTGAATAGGGGGTAAAAGGGTTTTCTCTAAACTATTGGGGGACAAGTTGAATTTTGACCAAATCTCAGGAGATAAATGTTTTTTTGGAGGTAAAAAAAAAAAAAAGCTTCTACTTTCACACCAGTTTTTCTCACCGCATCTTTTCTTTTTTCTTTTTTTTTTTTTCCAAAATTATCTCTAAATTAAATTATTTAATTATCTTTCTCATTGTTTTAAATCTCCTATATCAAATATAAAAATCCAATAAGTTAAATAATTTATTGGATATGCACATCTAATAAGTTATATAACTTACTAGATTTTAATATCATTAAATTAGTTTTCTAAAAATTTTAAGAAGAATTATAAAAAAGAAATTCTATTAAAAATTTTTATTAATTAATATTATAAAAAATTATTATTGAGAAGGAAACCATAAATATTAAAATTAATAAAAAAAATTAATTTTATTATTTTAACCGTAGAGAAAAATGAAGTTTTATGAGATCTTAACTAAACTAAAGATAAAATAGTAAATATAATTTTTTTTATAAATTCAAAATTCATCATTTTTTTAATAAATATTTTTTCTCTTGATATCATTATTAAAATATTATAAAAGAC